CTTCCACGAAAATATGATAATTGTTTGCGAAATACCCTTTAAATGCAAATTTTTGCTAATGTTTCCCTTAGGTCCGTTCGAGGCTATATTTTAGCTACATAATTGCCCAAAGGCTTGATAATACGTTTTATTTAGACAAAGCAGCTGCTGCTTTTATAGTGAAAATAGTGCTTATCGGACTCGAGCTTAGCCAATCGTATTCATGGTTAACTGATATAAATTATTCGTTTGCTACGTCTTTCAAACTTGTTTAACACATGGAATGAAGTTTTGCTAGAGTATCCGTTAACAACAAAAAAATTAATTTCGTACTGATAAGATTACATTTCCGATCGCGTGTGCTTAAGAGAAGAAAAACTTCCTTTTACGAATTTCATTATCATATGACAAGCTAAGAATCTAATCCCTGAGTTGAGCACGCTATTGCTTCGGATTCTCATGCGAGCATTATTGATTGTGGTTCTTCAAATCCTCAAGGTTTGCATCCAACAGGTAGCCGTTCGAGAGAACGTAAAGATATTCGTAACTTTTAAAATTGAAATCATAAAATATTCTATAGACACACTGCTAATGGCTGATGATCTCCACTGTACGTAGCCAATGGAAGCTACGGGAAATAACTACACGTTTCAATGAGTCATTCTTACATGTTTTTTTTCTCTCTCTTTTAGGTCGCGAGTGATGGAAGCAAGCCACATAAGTTACAAGGTACTAATTTAAGTTTACTTTCAACAACAAGACATAACATAAGACACAACGGTGTTTAAACTTGAAAAAGCGTGGACCAATGAAAGAAAATCATCAGAATTATATGCAATTTACGAAATATAGGCAACATGAAAGGTTTTTCGCTCTCGTCTATTGGACGTCTACCGCATAACAATAAAATACTTCAAATTACACCTAAAATTTTTAGCAGGAACAGTGATAAACCTGTCTGGAGTGACTTTATTTGTACACGCGCTAATCTAAACTCCAGCTATGTCAAAACAGGTGAAGACGACAGCTTATTTTTCTATTTCTTAAACATTTTTATTTCATACGACGTCTTCTTCTCGTAGATAATTCTCTTACTAAAGTTTATGTAGAGAGACCTTAGAATAAAACAGTATAATTATGGATTAATGATTTGCAAAAGAGAACACTTTAAATTAATTTTAATTTCGCATTTAAGTTTTCACGAAAGACTATTTAAAACGGTTTTAAGGCAAATACTCCGGCTCAGCAAAGTTCTTTTCGAGTCAGTAGAAATTTAACCAAAAGCAAAGACATTTTGATATCATTGTATGTTTGAATACAATTACAGAAAATACTAAGCAAACCGCGATATCGTAAAACGCAAAGTTAGCGTGAAGAAAATTGTATAACTGTGGTGTTAGTGATATTAATACTTAACATAATTTGACTTCAATCAGTTTCCTGCACGAATCCCCCAAGAACGATACTTTTTATTTCCGCGGAAAAAAATTTCAAAGAGTTTGTAAACAGAGGCGCGTTAAAAGCATGTACATACGCACTAACCTTTGCGTAAATAGATGTTACTCGAGTACACTTTATGATTAGCGAACACGATAACGAATGTACGTATACAGCAATTCCTGCTCCCGTGTGTACAGTTTAATCAAGCGGAGACCAAAGTTTCGATATGTTATGTTGCGAGGGGAATCGAACAAAAAGAACTGAACATACATGTTTATTCATTTCCTTTGTGTATCATTTAGCCAAGTAAGTGAGAGGTAAAGGGTTAATGGATCAAAAATGGTCATTCATCGGTGGTTGGAAGTAAAAAATCCTAAACCTTAAGCTGAAAAATTCCTCTTTTTAGTGAACTACCAGCCGTTCCTCGTTTAAACGAGTACACGGTTATGCTGTAAATCAGGTATTCAATTTAAAATGCAATTATCAAAATTTCAAATATTCATGAGGGCTTTCAAAGCACTTTGCTTGTGCATACTGCGTACTGAATACGTCTGAATCAGTGTAGCGGCGACAAAATGCTTCAAAATGAAAAGTTCCACAGGTTACCCAGTATGTGCTGAAATTATCTTAAAACTGCGTAAGTTTGAAAAGACCCGAAGGCGATCGTTTTTATAAAAATTAAAGATGAACATTAACAAATGAAGGCTAAAAAATCAACACTATAGAACCAACTTTAAAACACGCCGCCGAATGAACTCGCCAACGGTGTTCCTTCTCTGAAAACGGGACAAACAGTCCTCGTCCACATGTTATCTGTTAACAGTGCCTTGATCACTTGCAGCACAGCCCTATCATTCCGCCAGAGAGCAAAGAGCAAGAGAAATAAAAATGAATTTTTTACAGATATTCATTCCACATCAAAGCGCAATATCTATGACCTTAGAAGAGTTTTTCCTGAAAGCTCCAGCCAGTTTCAGTTGACAATTTATCCCCTCTATGTCAACAGCGATCGTTGTTGCGTGGAGAGGGCTTGTGTCTAAGTGAAACGTTTTTGCTCACGTTATCGTGGCCATTTTTGCATATTAAAGAAAAGAAAGAATGGCACTTCAGACAGATTTGTACCAATAAGACGGTCAAAGTCTTGTGAAAAAAAAAACTGATGACAGAGCAAGCGAATGACGTTGACGAAAATTCATTGTTGAAAAAGAGACAGCAAATGCCATTTTTATTATCTCCTTCATAGCTACGTTCATCAGAAAAACATTTTACTTATCGATATTTTCTCAGAGAATTATCAGGGACAAGCGTAAGATTATCTTTACTCGCAGTCCGATAGCAATCTGCATTATTGAATAAAGAAAATGATAAAATTTCATCTTATCGTGGTCTGTAACGACAGGCATATGTTGAAAATTCAGTAACGACAGGCATATGTTGAAAATTCAGTCTAGTATCAGAAGAAAATCATGTTCTATCTTTTTATGTTATTTTTAGCAATTTATCTGTGATTTAGATGAGAGAATCATCTGAAGAACATTGTCGAGTACTTTTGGAAACTCTGTAAAAATATCGTCAACGAACATTAACTGCCTTCTCTCAATTCTTTCCATTTCTAACCTGTGTCGAAAATAGAAGTTATTCTGAAAATTTCTGCGCGATATCCATAGCACATACGTATTGTTCCAATGAAACGATTTTAGTCCAATCTAGAAGCTTGGATAAGTTTACCAGGCGTTTTTTCAAAATAAAATATAAGAAAATGGGAAAAATAACACAGTTGAAGGTATAAATTTTGAAATCATCTTTCACATCAACAAATATAATTTTTGCGGTTTTTCTCATCTTGTTTGAACAATAAGAATCGTCGGCTCTTTTTTGACAGACAATTGCAAACATCTTACTGTATAATTTAATCTTTGAGTCTACTAATCATTCAATGCTATTCTCTGCCACGAAAATCCTCGGTTTCACAAGATTAAGTTTTATTTGAATGAACATACCGAGGCGAATGAATTTACCCTAGAAAATTATCTCGTCAGGCTTTTTGAATAATTCAGCTCTTCAAATTCTAAAATTCGCACCCTTGCCCAAAATCTAATTTCTTGTTGTCACCAAAAGATGTATATTTGCCCAGCCCAATTCCGTTAACAATACATCATGAATGCAAATAAATGTCATTTTTGCACCTCTAGAAATAATCAGGCTTCACTAATGTTTGAACTTCAACTGCGCAATTTTCCTGTTTTTGTTTTACAAAGCGAAACATACTGACGATGAATTATTAAAAATTTAGGTGAATCTGTAAAGTTCATTATTTTGGGCGTAAAGCACGCAAAAGATTGTCTGAATTTTGTCGACCATGATTCCTACTATCGGTTTTCTTTTATTCATTTCACATGGCATAATTGTATACTGGAAAATAGATATAGAAGTATGTGGGATGGTTTAAGCTCTTCCTTTGGATTCGACGCAGAATACTTTTTAACGGTTGTCTAAACTCTCTAGAATGAATCACTTTGACTGCCGCTGTAAGCGAGTTTTCATCCCAAGCACACTCCAGGGAAGTGTGACTACTGTCACTGAATAATCATTTTACATTCGTTATATAAAGCCATGCTTTATCTAAACTCAATAGGGAATCTCGTAGCAAAGATATAAAAGTCATGTTATCATGCTGAAACGCTTCAAAATCTCGATTTACCAGCTACTATATCAAATTCGTCGCTACAAGACTAGCTGGGTATGTTTCTGAAATGTTCAAAGAGAATAATTCCTGTTTCTAAACGAAACGAGATCTTTAATTAATTTCATCTTATTATATAACGAAGAAGTTTAAAAAGTTTGCATATGTTCCAGCAACCCAATTACAAGCAGGCGGATAACAAGTCATAAATAGAAAAAATGAAAATTTAAAAGTCCTGTTTAATTTCATACTGGCGGCAAAACAAAACCTTGAGATCTTCATACTTCCGCGTGATAATAAAACAAAGCGTAGTTTTTGTCAGTTGGGGGTCTTTTCTCTCTCTGTCATACAGTTATGTTTCTTATGCCGTTTAAGTTGCTTAAAAATTGATCTTAAACCTTCCTTACCCATGTAATATAGAGAAAGTATTGTTAGGGTTAAAGTGAGAACTGTTGTTTCGAAAAAGTGCGCGTTTCTCGACTTAAAGTGAGCCGAGAGTGGCTCCTACAGTAACGTGTGCCTTGTTTGTATAAATAGCTGCACCTGTAACCACAACGTTATTAAAAGTTTACATACACAAGAAAGAGTGTACGTAAATTTCAAAGTTCGGATGTTTTAAATTGTCGAACGCTGACAGAAACTTCGTTACAACTGTTTTTTTAGCAAACGAATTTGACAGAAGCGAATTGAAGACTATTTTCAGAAAGCTCTAGAAAAACTGTGAAAGTAATGAAAATAAAGCATTTCCTTCTCAACTGAACCTGTCGATGAGCCTCCATAATAGCAATCTCTTTTATTTGCATAACAATACGGAAGTCTGTTTAAATAATTTAGCTCTGAGTGTCGAAAGGTTTTTCTTGAGCATAGTATAGTTGATAGCGTTGCTTGACCGAGGAAGATGAAAATCTTATCTCCGCTGAATTTTTTGTTTTCCTTGATATCCCTCAAAGCCACTGAATTGTACAAAAATACCGTGCATTACTGGCCTTTTGAAGAAGTCTCCAACAGAAGCGTCATCGATTATACCGGTTATAACGACGGCCGCTTAAGGGGAAGCTTTAATATCATCTCTGGTATCGTTGGTGCTGCTCTGGAGATCTCGGGCAATAGTTCTTGGGTAGACTTTGGCGTGTTACCAAGTTTGTGCATTAATCACCCTGAGACATGTCGATCAGGGTTTACAATCGCTCTCTGGCTCAAAATTCAAGGTTTCCAAAACAACAGAATTATTCTGCAATTAGGACAGCATCGTTTTTCGCGAGGTTTAACGATTTGGACGCAAAGGAGTCTGAGAAAGAACATAGGATTCAGCACTAACACTTTAAATCGCAAGTACTACTGGATGCTAGAATGGAAGAACGACAACTGGAATCACATTGCACTCAAATGGGACAATAGAGCCGGTAGTTTGAGGATTTATTTTAATTGCACTTTAGCCAAGGTCGTAAACAAAAGTAAAAAGGCTACGCCTTTGGAAGACAATAAACCATCGAGACTTACTTTAGGAGCAAGCCATGCGAAAAAAAATCATATGAAATTGATGGTTGACGAATTTGCCATTTGGAACCACACTGTGTCAGATGACCTACTGTGCAAGGTGTTCAGAATTCACTCAGGTTAGTGCGCCCTTTTGTTTCGTTCACCATCTTAATGAAAAATTATCCAAATAAACTTCTTTAGTTTACAAAACCTTCCCGCTGGGGTTGTTCGGTAAAGATGTTTGTACTTGTTAGCTTCCAATGTGAATTTAATGAAAGTTTGCGTTTCTGTATTTAAACGTGTAAATGGTGTGGGAGGCAGGTGAATGCATAACTGTAGAAGTTTTTATTCAACAAATGCTGAATAGACCATTGCTGAGTTTTTTTTTTTTTTTTCTCATGAAGATCAATTTCTTCGTCGTTAAAAGAGATGCCTCTCAACTCAAATAAAAAAATTTGTGAATCCACTGGGTAGATTTGCCCCCCCCCCCCTTCCCTCCCTCGCTAAAAAAAAAAAAAAAGAAAACGGACTAATTTAATTTTTACCTGGATGGTTATAACAGTCTATAATCAGGGCTGCATATGTTTTACTTCATCGTCACTTAGAAAATTATTGCTATTACACACTAAAGAGTACTTTGACTTTTTTAAAACTTCATTCTCTTTAACCAGACAGTCTAAATATCATTTTATATTTATTCGTAATAATCACGAACGTTGGTGCATGAAACCTTGATTAAACTGTGTGCAAAATCAACCAACAGCACCATAACATAAGTGGAAGTAACCCACTCTTTCAAGAAGGTTAACACTGACAATGATTTAATTAATGTCATATATTTTACTTGGTAAAGCCCGTTGATACATCCAACAGTTCTACCTGACCAATATCATGTAAAAAAGTTATCTCAAGACCAATACCAGTGAATCCAATAGCACGCTCAGGAGTACCTCAACGTTGTTAATACCTCATGCATTTTAGCCAGACAGTCTGCTTTTTCATTTCCATTCAGTTGTAATTCTCTGTAGCGTTGGCTTATAAAACCTTGATTAGACTTTATGGAATAATTACATGAGTAATCCACCTTTCCAAGAAGATCTCAACAAACCATGATTAGTTGCATCACATCGAACATCAATTTCTAACGCTGTTAATCATAACCATTACAAATTTCTCAAATATTATTGGTACATTCACAACTTCATTTTAAACTCGTGAATAGCGCGCATGTGCAAGAGCGAGTTGTAGATATGATGTGGAGAATGGCACCCGCTCGCTCGCTCGATTGGTCGATTCCTGTAAACTTTTTTCGATTTTAGGCTTTTGAATGCATATGATAGTTTTTTGGCGAGTAATAAACAAACGAAATGGCGACCGTTGTTGCTAAGACTAGTGGTGGGGTGAAAAAGAAGCCAATGATTATCTTAAAAGAGTTTGTTTTTTTTCGTTTTAGTCTCAACAAGCGGCGCCAGCGACTGGCAGGCGTGCTAGGATTCACACTGAAATAAGAGAACAACCTTCGTTTTTCATAAAATTGTAATTTACAATCCTTGAACTTGAAAACAATCCGAAGATTCATTACAAATATCACTTACTCCGAAGCGCTCGGAGCTTACAGGTGTTCAAAAGCTTTTTCTGTTATGGCGTGAGATCGGGGACAAAATCGATCATTACATTTCGTATCGTGTGTTTTTTCTGTGTGAAGCAACAAAGGTGCCGGCGACTGAAGAAATTACAGGTTAACACGAAAATCAAATAACACCTATACAAATAATTTTGGCTACAGATTTTCAGCGAATTTTTAAAGAACAATTTTCTTTTAATATAAGTTTCAAGACAATTTGAAGACTCATAAATATTACGTACTAAAATGCGAAAGTTATACACCACAAAATTAATAAATAGGCCTGAAATGAAATTCTATTTTGTTCTCAATTATACGCTGCCTAGCAAGTGACCAAAATCTACCCAGGCGGAAATCCAAAATGACGGTGGCAGTCTGGGCTCAGTTATATCACTCAAAACTCGTTCTCGTTTGTCTCATTTGATAAAGAGGGAATCATTAACGTTTTCATTAAGACAGTATTGCTTTGATTTTCCAATATTTACAATGATAGACAGTAAATTTCACTTTTCACCCACATTTACTTCCAACCTTTTGTTTTGAACCAGAAACAAAAATGATATATGTTTAAAACACGACATCATCCACCCTTGTCAAATGTAATAGCATGATCATTGCAATGGTAATGCCTTCTTATCCCAATGTTACTTTGTTTCTTTGCTACATTAGCGAACACTTAACTACTGCTCGTACTCTAAATATGACAATCAACCACAAAATTCCCTAAACCAGACAACATTAAACATAATGCAAAATCATGTAAGTCATCTGTCAATTCACGAGTTTGCTCACAGAGCCCTTTGATTAATTTATCATTTGTTAATCACTCGCATGATTGCAGACCGAATTGGAGTCCACTTAGTCCTATTGTCATCGTTAACTGATTTGTTCACAAAATATATCAACGAATAACTAGGCAGATATATAACTAAGTGAATAAATAGATAACAAACAATTGATTAACCGAATAAAAAACTGAGCAAACATCTTAAACGTATAGAGCCGTTTGTGCGTTTTACTGATCATTACAAGTTTTGTAGGATAGTTTGTTTTTATCCTCAAGGTTGATAATGTAAACTGGCCACCATAAACAGTTTCTATAGCTTACGTTTCGAGCGTTAGACTTTCGTAACAGCTCCAGACGCTCTTCACTGTGGCCAGTTTACGTTATCAACTCAGTTGATAAAATCAAATTATCTCAAAGAAATTTGTAGATTTCTCGTGCAAAATTAACGTAATTCTCTCTTCTTCCTTCTAGTGGATAAAAATTACAGTGAGTGGTCTGATTTTAGCCCTTGTTCAGTATCTTGTGGTAATGGCACGATGAAACGGACAAGGAACTGTAGCCTACCATTACCAACAAATCGTGATCAACACAACTGTTCTTTTATTGGACCCTCCGAGGAAGTAAAGTCGTGCTTTTTACGGGAATGTCCGCTGGACGAAAACTATTCACAATGGTCAGTCTTTAACAATTGTAGCAAGACCTGTGGTGGCGGAATCAAGAAAAGAAATAGGACTTGTTCAAACCCGGAGTCTGGACTCGGTGGTAGAATTTGTTCTAGTCTAGGATTGACGATCGAAGTTAAAAACTGCAATACACAACCTTGTCCTATAGATGGAGGGTACAGTGAGTGGACGGAGTTTTCACGATGTACAGTTTCTTGTGGAAATGGAACGAGACATAGAACTCGAAGTTGTTCCCGTCCACAACCTAAATATGGTGGGAGGGACTGTGCGCATTTAGGATCAAATATAGAAATTGCGATTTGCAACAATACTTTTTGCCCGACTCACGGGGGCTTTAGCGAATGGTCAACGTTCAGCAAATGTACAAGAACATGCGATAAGGGTATTCAAAAGAGGTCTAGAAAATGTTCTAATCCCGAGCCGAGCCATGGAGGAAAGGATTGCTCGAGTTTGGGAGCACATGTAGAGACAAGGGTATGCAATACTCAACATTGCCCAGTAAATGGTGGATTTACCGAGTGGACGAGATGGGGTGAATGTAGTAGATCATGCGGAGTTGGAATTAAAAACAGAACGCGATCCTGTAGTGATCCTATTCCTATGTATGGCGGAAACGAGTGTGATGGATATACAATCGACTTTACAGTTTGCAATATTGATCAGTGCCGGGTTGATGGAAACTATTCTTCATGGTCAAAGTTTAGTGCTTGTAGCAAAAGCTGTGCTGGTGGTAAAATGAAACGAACAAGAACGTGCACTAATCCACCTCCAGATAATGGAGAGGATTGTTCGCTGCTTGGTTCAGCGATAGAAATTAGAAACTGCAACACTTTTCCATGTCCAATAAATGGTAATTATTCATCGTGGTCTAACTTCAGTTTGTGTAGTAAAAGTTGCGGTAATGGTACGATGGAAAGAACGAGAAATTGTTCAAATCCAGAGCCAAAACACGGTGGCATGAATTGCTCTTACTTAGGCCTTCCAAAGGAGGTAAAAAGTTGTAATGCATTTCCTTGTCCGATACATGGTAATTTTTCTTCCTGGTCACTTTTTAGCGTTTGCAGCAAAAGCTGTGGAAATGGGAAAAAGACCAGAACTAGATCATGTTCAAATCCTGTTCCAAAACATGGTGGTAAAAACTGTTCTGCGCTTGAACCTCTAAAAGAGGTGCGTAGTTGTAACACCTTCCCCTGTCCTGTTCATGGAAACTACTCGCCTTGGTCAAATTTTAGCAGTTGTTCTAAAAGTTGTGGTAATGGTAAAATGGTACGAATACGAAAATGTTCAAATCCTACGCCAAAGCATGGTGGAAGAAATTGTTCATTGTTTGGGCACTCGACAGAAGTTCGAAGCTGCAATGCATTCCCCTGCCCAGTTCACGGAAATTATTCGACGTGGTCCAATTTCAGTGCATGTAGTAAAAGTTGCGGAAATGGGACAATGTCACGATTTAGAAACTGTACCAATCCGAAGCCTCGCCATAAAGGAAAGAACTGCTCTTCGTTAGGGGCCCCAGTAGATATTCAACTTTGTAATGTTTTTCCGTGTCCGATACACGGCGGATACACAGTTTGGGGAAACTTTACGCAATGCACGTTGTCATGTGGTAATGGCACCATGTATAGAACAAGAAACTGCTCCAATCCCGCACCTCGACATCGGGGCGAAAATTGCTCAAAGCTTGGACCAGCTGAGGAAATAAGAGCATGTAACGAGCATCCTTGTCCAATACACGGTGGCTACACGCAGTGGTCGGAGTTCAGTCAATGCTCGACAAGCTGTGGCAATGGCACTCATCGGAGAACGAGGCTATGTTCCAATCCAGCGCCAAAATTTGGAGGTAAAAACTGCTCTCTGTATGGTTTGGACATTGATGTCGAAAGTTGTTATTTGATTCCGTGTCCTTTAGATGGTGGATATAGCATGTGGTCAAACTTCACTGAATGTACCAAATCATGTAACGTCGGAAGACATACTCGAACTCGGCAGTGTAACAATCCTGTTCCTAAACACGGTGGGAAAGATTGTTCGAGCCTTGGTCCAGAGACAGACGTACAATTATGTAACACATTCCCCTGCCCCATCCATGGGGGATACAACCAGTGGAGTGGATTTGAGTCATGTACACGAACCTGCGGAGGAGGAAAGCTCATAAGGAGACGTTCCTGCATCAATCCGCCCCCTGCCCACGGAGGAAGAAATTGCAGTAGCCAGGGTCCAAGTATTGAGTCCAAGTCATGCAACACGCAAAAATGTCCAGGTACGTTTTCCTTTTTTCTGCGGGTTATTTGATAAACTTGAGGTGTCACATGTATCTCCCCAAAAGCGTTATACTACGCCCATGAAGGAACTGCGAATGAAGCTGTAACGTCATAATCAGTTTACTATCTCGTTTGGGGCAACTCAGTGTCACCTTGACAGTTACGTTGTCGATGCATGACCGCTTGACATTGCCAAGGAATAACGGCATAATCTGAGATCGATTGACCTTTTTGTTGTCTTCAGCTACCGTTTCAGACACTCAGGAGTTACAAAATACTTAAGAAAAGCTGAGCAAGTTCAGTATAAAAATTAAAATGAGAGGCTACACTCATGACCTTAACGAGACTTTGAGCAGTAACTTCTCTATACGTCATTTGGTCTTTCGCTAAAAATCCACCTCAGGCCTTTTCTGATGTAACTTTTGCTTAAGACCCATAAATTTTTATGGAATGAAACAACTTTGTTATTGGAAACTATTTCCTCAGATATTGTTTTCAAGATAACAATAAACTTGACGTCTGAGAAATGGGACCCAACTTTAGCTGCTGGAAAAGGCCGGAGCTTTGACAGGCTGACGTTAAAAATCCATTATGGGGTAAGTGATTGAATTTCACATCATTACACTATTCCATAGTTTTGATTAGATTACTTTCAAGTGCGGTTAGGACGACCCTTCCGTTGTAGTATAGGTCATAATTTATCCTCTTCACTCGTTACCCTCTTGCTCACGGAAGATATATGTCTAAATCTGAAACGTGGCTGACTAATCATTTTAGTAACCTTCAAAGTTGAAGAATAAACGGGAAACTTCTCTTTTTGACTTGGTTAATTTTAGGCAGGAACAAATTCCAGAAAGTTAGAGGAAGAAGCAAAAGTAAACCTAACAAAACAACACTTTTACATTGGATCATAACGTAGCAAACATTCATGGTTTCTTTTAGGTTAAAGCGATTATGGGAGAACGGGTAGTATCTGATGTTGGAGATTTCACCTTTAGGTAGGAAACTATTGGTTTTTTTTAATATTTTTCTTTTGTCTGTTTTTTTATGAAATTTGTCAACTGATATTAACCATGTTTGGAACTTGAGATCCAAACTACTATGTGGTCAAAGCTGATCACAGAAAAACAAAATTATTTGAAAAATAAAATTATTTGATCCTACGGCTACATACCTGTTGACTATTTCAATTTATTCATTTCTGTCAGACTTCTCCGTTAAAATTCAAAATTTTCCTGTTAGTCGATCGCGGACATGTTTGCCTTTCCTCTCCTTCCTTAATGTTCTCCGTCCGTTGCTTTCTTCTCGATGAGTTCCATTCTTCCCTGGTTTTCTTGTTCTTTCGATCCATTTCTTCGTTTCTTCTTATTTACTGTTTTTCGTTTAAAGACAAGGAAGCGTCATCGTAGATTTCTCTGTCAGCCTATTTCACCAACCCTACCAAGGAATTACCGCTCTTCAAGATGCCATCAACATCGACAAAAAAATAGAAAATACACTGACGGTCTCACCTGTAAACCTCGCTTCACCGGATGGTAAGGGTTATCTAGTTTCACAAAAGCAGTTATGCACATTTGCCCTCAGCCGCAGCTCGTCTTCATGTTGAAGATTCGTAAAATTTGCTAAGAAAGTATCCTGACAAGCAGAATAAGGAAGATGGTTAGTTTGAGCTCCGGAGTAAAATAATAAAAGATGTTTTTAAGTGTTATCTCTTGCGTCCGCGTGAGGAATTGAGCCTTAGACTTTTGAATTTCGCACTCCATTGCTCTCTACAACTTAGAAACAAGACAGGTAGATATGTGTTACTTTTTTTTGCCACAGAATCAAACAGATAAAGACAACATACACTCTTGAACCTAATTATGAAGGATATTCAGTCCAGGGAAGCCGTTTTCTTTAATTTTTGCTGTTTACGAAATGATCTTCAACTTACCAAAAACAACCGATCATGCTAAGTAAATCTTTTTTCGGTAAACGCTATACTAAACATTAATCATTTCCGTTGTGTTATTTTTGTAGTCCCATTTATGGCACCAGTCAACATCACGGCTATTAACTCAAGCTCCACCTCAGTTCTCCTAACATGGCTACCAATTCCGAACGAGTATTCCAATGGTCCAATTCTGGAATACAGAGTTACTTTCTGGGAATTAGGAAGTGATAACTTAGAAAAAAGGCTATGGAAGAAGGTGATCGACGGGGAAAGACTGTCCTCACATGTGACTAACTTGGAGAAGTTCACCACCTACCAGTTTAGAATGGCAGGTGTCAATCATCGAGGAGTCGGAGTGGACAGTGAACCAATTGAAACAAAAACAGATCAAGACAGTAAGTACTAATTACCTTATTTATACTACTGTTTTTTCATTGATTAAAAAGTGTCACTCATTTCTTATATCTAGCCAGCTCTTACACAATTCGAGTTAAGTTGAACATTCTGCAATTGTAAAGCCAGTAGAAACCAGAATAGCGGATTTCACTCGTTAAGTTATAATCCCTCTATCACTTCGTTTGTTTGTTGAATATTAGTGCCTCAATAAATCATTCACAGACTTACTTTGTCTCTACTGATATATTTCTCAACAAAGTTACGTTGATCATTTTTTTTTTGTATTGTCAGACATGTTTATGAACAATTTCTCCCCTTGATGCTTTAAAATGGATTGTATCTCAGTATTTAGGAGAAGTCTCAAGTTAGGATCAAGTGCAAATATTGCTATTCATTTAAAGCAGTATTGTTCAGTTTACTTGTGTGATTTAAGATTAAAACGCGTTTAAATTTTTTGTGTGTGTCGCTAGCTTCCGTAGGCTGTTGCTTTCACCTGAGTCACCATGGTTGGTATACCCAATCACCATTAAGCTTTGCACGCAGAGCGAAATTTACGAAGTCAAATTTTCTTCATTTGATGCTCTCTTTAGAGCCTAGTTCATCGCCGTGGGATGTAAAAGCCAGTAACAAAAGCAGCACAACCATTTACGTTAATTGGTCTCCGATCCCCAAACAGTTCATTCATGGAATTCTATTGGGTTACCATGTTCATTACACTAACTTGGATCCTAATGGATACGAAGACGTCATTACTCGTACATACCCGACTGACCCAACCAGAACCTGGGCTCTAATTACAAACCTGCTTAAGTTCACATCATATCAGATTCAAGTCAGCGCTTTTACAATTAAAGGAGACGGGCCATTGTCGGATACAATCTTCGAGCGGACACAGGAGGACGGTAAGAAATAAATATCAAGAAAAATAGTGAGATAAGAGAAAAATTCCTGAAGATACGATCAACACTTATTCTGGTGTGCAACAAAGCGGGATTTGAGGACGTGAATCAAATGGCGCATTTGAAGCTGAGTAAAACAGGACCCTTTCCTCAATTTCAATCTTTTATGTCCTCCAAAGAGCGATATTTGAACCTCTTCGGTCTCCACCAGAGAATGGGAAATTATGAATAAGATTCTTGTGCGTGATGCCCCACTTTTATTGGCATAACTTCAATTTTTGACGATAGTTTTTTTTTCTTATGTTCCTTCCTCGCTTTCTTTCAGTCCCTAGCCGGCCCCCAGGAAATGTTAAAGGCAACAATCTTACATCCACAAGCATCGTGATCCAGTGGAGCCCAATCTCCTCGCGCTATGCACACGGTGTTCTCCTGGGTTATAAAATATCTTATGTAACAGCAGACGCCCCGAATAATCGAACGTGGAGCGAAACTGTAGTCAACCAGTCAGCAACGTCAGCGGTTATTGCCAATTTACGCAAGTTCACAACGTACATGGTATCTGTTGAAGGTTTTACCAACAAAGGAAGTGGAATTGAGAGCAAATGTGTGGCAGTGACCACGGATGAAGACAGTAAGATAATGACTGTATATAAAGCTGCATATGCAAGTTTAACTCGATGAATTTCCGTTTGTAAGTTGTCCTCGGCGGTTAAGATGGAAAAAAGCAGAAACTTTCTTTGCCGCGTTCCCTTCCCCAAAAAGTACTACGGCGTTCTGAAGCGAATAGGCAAAACGCATCCAGACCATGTCAGATTTGAATGTCTGGACTGCAACAACAATTAATACACAAGAATATCATAAAATATATGCATGTAGTATGAATTTATACATTTATACATATATCAACAGACATAGTCGCAAGCTCCTGACTAATAACGAAAGCACTACAACTAGGAAATATAAAAATAGAAAAAATATACATATAAATAGATAAATAAATCGAAAAAGGTAAACATCACACTACCTAAGATAAACTAGCAACTACAGACCATAACTGCAAATTTTAAAATACTTCAGCAGACATGGTAATCTCTACGTTAACTTTTGCAGGACCCGATACCTTCCCTGCCAACGTCACCGGTTTCAACAGAAGCTCCACCTCTCTGTTTCTTGAGTGGAAACATATCCCTCCACAACACAGAAATGGCATTCTCCAAGGTTACAAGATTTCATATTTCTCTAATAGCTCTTATGAGACAGTCTTGCATCAGACAGTCCACGGTTCAAGGACGTCGACTACCCTTGAGAACTTGAAGAAATTCACGTGGTACGTCATCAGAGTGGCCGGGTACACCAGTAAAGGACTCGGTCCTTCACCTCTACAACCTTTAGTGATAAGGACAAGTGAAGATGGTAAGTCACGTGACTCGTTCTACCTCACTTCGCTTTCAGTATTATGCGTTTCTTCACCGTACTTTCTTTTTTAAAGTTTAAAAAATGTTTGAAAAAAGGAAAAAAGAAAAACAGCACAACAAAATATAGGTGGCTAAGGGGTACGATTTGAGTTCCCTGTTCATTGGCGTTCACCAAGAGATCATAATCTCTTGCCTTCAGCTAAGTAGGTTTTAGGCGCAGAAGAGTTTTATCCGTGAAGTGAAAAGTTAGAAACGCCAAGACCGAATGATTAAGAGGATCATAGTATCGATAAATAAGGCTAAATTCATTCACTGAATTGAACTCATGTTCACCAATGTTCACCAATGTTTAAGCTTCTGTTAGATGTTCACCCATGTTCACCAGTGTTTTTTTACTAAATATCGTTTACTTTTCTGTATGTTTAACTTTTAATAAGTTGTATTGGATTGACGACCAACTCGCCAACGTCTCTACTCGATTTTATACGTCGGCGAGTTGGCGTCGGCGAGTTGGTCCGTCGGCGAGTTGACTGGTTACCTTGTATTCGCCTGTGATTTCCTTGTAAAAAAACCGGGTATCCTAAGGATTTCATGTAATCGTGCTATTGGCAATCAGCGTCCAGCACGATCTGGCTTGGCTTGCATGAGACTGTCCACTGCACTTCTTGACCAACCAAGATAAATAAAAGCTAACTTATGACATTATTGTTAAGTTCCTAGTAAACCTGTGATAAAATTAAAAGCTCGTAACACAAGCCACACGAGTCTCCTTGTGGACTGGAAAGACATACCACTTGACTACGTCCATGGGATACTATTGGGCTTTAGAGTGCTGTTCTGGCGATTCAATGAGTCACGTGACACGTATGAGATCAGAGAGGTTCCTCCTGATGAACGATCTGTCCATCTAAAAGATTTGTGGATTTACACCAAATATAAAATACAAGTTCTTGGTTTCACGGCTGCTGGCGAAGGTGCTGTTAGCGAGGAAATCGAAGTCTCAACTGATGAATACGGTGAGTTTTTGCCTTTAATTTAGATCCACCTAACTTTGTTGAGGCACATCAATCTCCTGTCAATGTTGAAGCAATGAACAAGACAAGTCCCACAAAAATCGAGGTACAGTGGAAACCCATCCCAGATGAATTTTACGTCCATGGTATACTGCGTGGTTACAGAGTACTGTACAAGGCGATAGCCGCTGCAGACGAGACGCCAGAGGAATGACAGATGAAAAAGAAAGATATTACATGAGTGTCTATTCATCGATGTTCTCCGAGCACATTATGTACCCGAGATCAATTTCTATTAGGCAAATGCGAATATGATTTTCAGTCCGCATAGGCGAGCGAAAATCGTATATACTGTAGTTCTAACCAAAACCAGCTTTTGGCGAAACGGTTTCCCGGTGATGTACTTAGTATGATTTAATTTCCGTCTGGTCAAAGGGTAGCAACATGGAAAGTTACGATAAGTTGATAACGACCCGTTGCTCTAAGTAATACAGCAAGAAACCATCTTCAAAGAAGGAGAACAATTGCCTTCCTTTTCTCGGTTTTTCTTTGCTTCTCTCCTCTTTCCATTTAGATTTTCTACTTACGATTTTCGAAAAATATTGGAAATTGACTATGTGTGATGAGTAATGAGACATGTAAATCTCTCCTAACTTGCTGATCATTCGAAGAGCCTGAATGCTTGCCGGCAAGATTTTCTTCAACACTCAAAGTTGCTCTCAAAGCTTCTTTTTTCAGCCTTATGCTTTTTTAATCTGACAATCTCTCAGACCCTAGCAGTATCTTTCGATATACCAGCCTCTTATGGGAGTTTTTCAATTCAAGTGATGTATTTTCTCTCAAAAAAAATTGGAACATCTTTCTTTCTTGCACTAGTTCCCAGTCAATCTCCTGTCAATGTTCAAGCGATGAACAAGACAAGTCCCACAAAAATCGAGGTACAGTGGAAACCAATCCCAGATGAATTTTACGTCCATGGTATACTGCGTGGTTACAGAGTACTGTACAAGGCGATAGCCACTGCAGACGAGACGCCAGAGGAAGAGTCGGAAACTAAGATAGTAACAGTATCAAGCTCAAGCTTGTCTGCTGTTCTGGAAAATTTGGATGCATACACCCGATACGAGATCGAAGTTCTGGCATTTACCATCAAGGGAGACGGGGTGAAGAGTGAACCTATACGAGCAGGTATTTCACAAGATTTGTAATCTTCCTTTGCAGCCTTGAGTGCCTTTGCAATTCATACTTCTATTCAGGCTTCCTTTTTTGAAAATTTTTAAATACAACTCACTCCTAGAGGATCATTTCAATGCTTGTATTCAGTTAGCAGGTCAAAACACTATTTATCGCATTTTTAAATGTAATTTTCAGGGATAAGCATGCAGATTTTTATTTCAACCTGTCAAGAGACGTAGGAAAACCTAAGCTGTTAAGAAGTAAATCCGATCCCCCATCACGAGCTCATGATCGACTCAAAAACATTTTACTTCCTTTTGTTTCCTTCCAGAAACGTGTAACTGCTACAGCACTGTCTTCTCTAATTGGTGGATCAACCCGCCTTACGTTGACAGCCCCGATTCCAACAAGAGCGGCATCATCACTCCTATCCTAAAAGAATCAGTTTATTCCTGCTGTGGGAACTGCTCTGAGCATGGAACCTCACGAATAGACTTTGAGTACACTGCCTCTCTACGTCCTGCCAGGAAATCAGGACTTGTTCAGTTCAAGAACGGCTTTGAGGAGAAAACTGAGCTTCATTTTCCAGTCTATGGCTTCATGGATCAGACTCGGTTTTCAGACAATTACGGATTTGTTCCTTTCGTCCAGTCGCCAGGCTTGGCACTGATCATAATCGGAGATGAAAAGGGAACCGCTGCAAATCTACTGCTCAAGTCACTGGCCTTTTGTTTCCCAGTACTCTTTTTGTCCATTGCCATGTTATGGGTGTCCAGTTTGGCCATGTGGTTTGTGGTGAGTAATCTCTTTGTCACCCACTGCCATTTGTGTACAACAGCAATTTTCTATTTTGCCGTTTCTTCTCCCTCGAGATATCAAAGCCTGATGACAAAGCTTCTTTTGAATTTTTCGGTAGAACAAAAGAACACGAACCGTTTTTCATACTTTTCAAGATATACTGTGTTCTTTTTTACTTCCAAAGGAAACTGCAGCTAATGAACGCCACTTTCCTCGCAATATTCTACAAGGAAGCTGGGAAGCGATGTGGTGGGCGTTTGCTTCCATGACAACTCTCGGGTAAGACAACTATCACTGATGATGTGAATAAATTGATGGAGGAAATAGGGAACGAATACATGAATAAATGGGCGAGCGAGCAAGTAAGAGAGTTAATGCCAGGATGACTGATTGACTGTGGATTGACTGTCTGACCAACCGGCTTCCTGACTGACTGATTGACCGTCTGGCTAACGGACTGAACGACTAACCAACAGATTGACGGACCTAACAACGAAATAACAAACCGATTGATTGACGGAACGCCAAACTAATAGAATGGTTCGTAAGGAATTTCAAAGCTGACGTTTCAAGCGTTACCCCTTCGTCAGAGCGAAGGGCTAACGCTCGAAATGTCGGCTTTGAAACTCTTAACAATGGCCAATTTACGTTATCAACTCAGTTGATAATACTAAATTACCCTGGTATACTCTCCCACCGATACAGCATCTCAATTTCTTTAGAAACTTATCCCCTTTAACACAATGGTCCACCCATCAAACTGATCGACTTGTGAATAGATCAGATGCACATACAACAAGTTGACGATTTGTTGTAACGTTAGTTGGAAACAATTTACTGCTAGGTCGATCTGTCTGCTTTTAATTGTGCAACTGCTTTCGTTCTTATTCGGTAGGTACGGTGATCGGATTCCAAGGACTCCGTTTGGTCGCCTGGTGGGTTTAACTTGGATCCTTTTAGGCGTCATCATGGTGACTTGCTTTAACTCTACCATGACAACACTGCTGACCGCGAGAATTTTGGACAAAGAGGTTAATTTATATGGAACCAAGGTGTGCATAAATTTTTACACAATTGTTTTCATTTTTCTCATCAAAAAGAAAACAAATACGTGAAGAAAATTTTTTTTCTTTTTGTTACATTGACCTACCCGTTTTGAACAAAAAACATTTTTGGAATCAAGTGTGCAAAAGAGGAGTTAAGAAGAACGCTTCTTGAGAGAACAGCGAAAAACCTTATAGCAAAGCCTACCAATTAATTTATACGCACCAGATTAAGGACGAGAAACTACTCCCTACTTGACCCTTAAGGTGACTTCCTCTCAGTTTATTCGAAACTTCTTCCATTATTGATTCTTTTTGGAGCATCCCTAATTTAGACGATCATATTACGCAAGCGGTATGTCAAATAAAAATTAAGGAGAGTATCTGGCGTTGAGGGCGGAATGAACGTTGACACATTTCACAACCTGTTCAATCACTTTGGCATTGAAACCATTTGTAAAGAGCCGACCAAACCCCGTGTAGAAAGAAGTATCAAATAGCATCTAGCATTAATTTTACATTAGTTCGAAACATTCCAGATATATATATATATATATATATATATATATATATATATATATATATATGTGAGTATCGTTTGTTTGCAGATTGCTGCAATTCAGAATTCATCCGGGTATCGTATTGCTATCAGGAAAAATGCCCGAGTCAACCCCGGTGGTAAGTGATATTTTTGTAAATGATGTATCTGTGATGAGCACTTTGGTGTTGATCTAAAATAACATTTCACTGAACAAAGATACTTCGACCCTCCGTGAGCAGTTATCCTGAAATGTTAAGTTTGACAGCAGGAAGCCAGATCGAGGATAACGTAATGTTGCTATTTCTTGTTTTTATTTTCTTTCTACTCTCCTCCACTTCTTTTCAAACTTTGCACTTGAGTCGTTTAACTAAGTTCTCTAATTATTAGAAATTCAGAAAGAAGTTTTTCGTTGCTGATCCTAACAGTAAGCAGGAAGCGTGTCATATGAACTTCGTAATAGCCCTCACTCACCGTGGAGTCTCTGTGGCTCAGTGGTAGAGTATCAGAGCGCGGAATCCGAAGGTCTGAGATACGATTCCTCATGGAGACTCAGAACTTGTTCTTTGTCCCACGCTCGAAACAAAACGAAAAACATCTTTCTCTATTTCTTTACCGAGCTCAAAATTTACCATCTTTCTTGTTCCATTTATAAGAAGTTGTTGAAATTCAACCTTCTAAAAATCTAACCTCCTCGGCTCTGGGTAATACGTATAGAAAAGGCCATCGCTCTTATTTCTCATTACCCACGGTTTTTGTTTACGATTAGGACGATCACAAACACAACCTCAAGTAGAACTATTTAGGATGTGCGTTTCTAGTTAATCCTGAACTTTCTTTGAAATATCTTTAATTAACTGGGCTTCTTCCCCTAGGCAAGGAGTACACTAATCTGCAAGAAGTTTACGAAGCTCTAACCAGTCGAGAGGTAAAAGGAATGCTTATCGATGCATACACGGTAGGGAGTAAGAAACATCTATTTAATCGACGGGATCTACGCATCAGTAAGCTACTGGACTACTCGGCTGCATACGGTGTGGTGCTAGGAGGAGAGGCCAAGAAGATACAGAAGTGTCTTCAAAAATACGTCAGCGAGCAGCGCTCTGAGATATCCAAGATTGTGAGGAATAACGTGCAAGCAATCGAGGTATTATTCTATGTCTCGAGTTTAGTTAGCGACAACTGAGGCGATAGGATTTGCGGTGGCGGGTCAAGAAAAGTGGGGCAGGGTTGGGTCCCTTGGGTCTTTTTTGTTTATTTTTATTGTTGTTTTTGTCGTTCTTTCTTCTTCTTTTTTTTTTTTTAATAAAAAAGCGCGTTAGTTTGAAACTGTTTTAAACAAAACTTCATGCGTCCCTATGAAACATTCCTGGATCCACCTCTGAAAAGTGAAATGTATATGTTGTTGTTGACTAAGTATATAATACTAACTAGTCACACGGTGCATTTAGCTGCATGGAGCTTGTCCTAGTATCAGAAGTATGAAGCGATTCGCAGTGTTGGTACACTCCCTTTGCAAAATTAGGAGTATCAGTCTATCGCAGGTTTGTGAGTTCATGCATACCCTAAATTTTATTTCGTTCCTTCCATAGATTACGCCTAAAAGCATGTCTGTCGAGCGCTCGAGCAGTCTGTTTGACCCGAGGTTTCCCACGTACGTGCGTGCGCTGATCGTCTGTGGTGTAATCCTTGGTGTGATGTGGCTAGTAGGAGCTAAGTTTGAGTTTGCTAAGAAGATGGGATGGGTAAAGTTCAGGAAAAAAGGTATTTCCAGCACTAAGAGAAAACTGATCATTATCTAATATCAGCTAGTCCCCCAAAATATAGTTTTTGATATGATTTTGTCAAAGTTTACAAAGTTGATGTTCATCTTATAGCACTAAAACTACCTTTGATTTCACAGAGCTAATAAACTTCATGGATATCCCAATGGAAAATTGGGAAAAAGGGGATTACATAGTGAACTGTAGGAGTATTGTTCTCAGTAATTCACTGCGAATCCCTATTGCGCATAGAATCACGAGTAAACAGCGCACGCTAACCAAACTAAAGTGGATGCTTTTTTAATTTCCAGTGACAGACATTGGAAATAAAACAGAGCTGTGCTCCTGCAGTTCACTATCTCATCTCTAGTTTCCAAATTTTTCTCAAAGATGTTCATGAAATACAGGAGCGTTTATTAACAATTATAACAGGACTGAGTGGAGTCCAACAAAATCGGGCGAACGCGAAGCAAGAATCCGATTTGTTTATCACGAGTATAATTGGACGAATGGGAACAGAACAGAATTGGACGACATGAAGTTCTGTTACCAATTAATCAAACCTATGACAACATTTGAGAAAGAAAGTAGACATCATTTATACGTTCTGATTAAAACAAACAAACAAACAAACAGCTGACGCGGCGAAATGCGCGTCAATAGCGTGTTAACTGTCCTATGACACTGTCCAATTACAAGCATATATGCATGACGCGTACACTTTCCTATTAGTTAGTGCTCAAATCGGGCTGGTGATAACCAATCACGTTCGAGAATTTTGTTAGTTTTGATTAGCTCTGTAAAATCAAAGGCAGAAGCCACAAATCACCTCCGTAAGATTCCTGTTGGCAGAATGTACTTGAATTCAGTTTTTGCTTCCTTGTAGGTGCAGAGAGTCACTCTCTTCCAAGACGAGTGGAGTTGTCCAGACACAAAGAAGAAATGAAGGCTGATTTGTCCAGAATCGTTGCCATATTCAAGATCAACTGCTCGCGTCGTATACAACACTTGAGGCAACGCCACAAAAAAGAACTGCTTCTTTTAGCCAAGCTCAAGAGACAAGCAAACAATGCGTTAATCCATAAAGGAACTTTACGGAAGGACAGTTTATTTAACTTTACTTTTGGACTAAAAACACTCGAGTTAAATCATAATTCAGAAAGAAATGGTCTAACAAAGCATGACTCGTCACTGAAACAAGACGATGAATATATGGAAGCCATCGTGTAGGGAGTGTATATAGTCGTCAACAGAGGCAGATCCAGACCTTGAGCTAAAGGGGACACCCGGTTTTATGTCGTTTGCCCAGCCGGTTTTTCTTCCTTCTGCGATTCCTGTTCTTTTTTTTTATTAAAAATAAGGGGGAAGATTCGCCACTGGTCAATCGAGAAGAGGGTAGCAAAGGAATAGGGGAGAGGGGGGGGGGGGTCTTAATCCCGTCTTAAACACGAATTTTAGAAACATTAACACGTCACGAGCACTTGAAACAGTATTTCACGCGTCACGGATTTTTAAGGGAAAATTCAAAATCTCACCCTCCCTCTGTAAAATTTACGCGTCACATATTTATTTTGGGCTTAATTACGCGTCAAGTAGACACCCTCTGCCACCTTCCAAGAATACTGAATGTATTTTAAGAGAAAAAATCCACTCTAAACGGATAAAAGCGTACTTAGAAAAAAATCTGGGACTACAAAGAAAAAGGAGTGAAAACTGACCTCCGAGCCAAACAGCCTATATAGCCTGCCAGCAGACGTTGTGTGCGCAGTCATTCCTCCACGCCAACGTCTGCTGTTAGTGGGGAAGAGTGATTGCGTGACATGAGGAGCATGACAGTGTCTGCGTAGTAGGCTGAAGCTCGTATGAAGGGAGATGAAGTATTTGCATTTTCTCTCCGTTAAAATTAAGGCTGATGCTATTTTGAATCAACACAGTTTCTTGTGTCGTTAAGTCAGCAACCTTAACAAATTTCAAATTATTTTAGAAAGGATAGCGTTCTCTAAGATTACTTACCTCAACTCACAACTATAACTGGCAAAAAAATGTTAGGGTTTTTAACTGAACCATTTCTATACAAGGGAAAAAGTTTCAGAAATCGTTTGAACACTGTATCATGACAACTTTTCATCCAGTTGAATCACTTCATGTATCCGCACACGGAACCTCTGTATTCATTATAAATTCTTATAGCTGCCTTTAATTTCGAGATTCATGATGAGAATTTTTTATCCTAAAGAAATATTATCTCTCTAAAAAATAGTCATTACTTAATAAAGAATTTCTCTTCTGGCCGATTAAAAAATTTCATTTTAGCGTAAAGTAAAGTAATGCCAACTGCTTTTTCCAAATTTAACATGACTTAAATTCCCTTTGTTTTGGTAATTGAGCCTAGAAGTTCCCCCTGGAATAGCTGAGTAACACACAAGTCTTTCTCGTGTAGTGTGTAAATAACATGGCATGGATTGGTGAAAGAAAAAATCTAACTTTAAAATAGCAAAAAATTATAAGCAAGAAGACATCAAACATAATTAATAATACATCATTAACTTTAAGGAGAAATAGTACAGAAGTCTGTTTGAACTATTAAGGTTCAGTTGATACAATCATTTATTTTCTACACGTATGTAACATAAAATAACAAATTTTTAGTTATCTTAAAATTAGTTATCTTTAAATCTAGAAATATTTTTACACAATAAAAACCACTGATTAAGAAATTGAAAAAAAAAATGAATGTCTATCTTTCATTTCACAACCATCATTGTGTTCTTCTACTATTTGATAGAAGGAACCAATTTTTTTAATAATATTAAATAAGGAAATTTCAAAAAGGCCAGTAATAATGTGTTGCGAATCCTAACTTCCTAAATTTGGACCATCATTGAACAAGAATGATTAAAAAAATTGGAAAAAAAATGGGGAAGTGCCATGTGAAGCAGATTTTCTTCTTTGAGGAAAAATGATATTTTGGATTTGATTCTTTAAATAATATTCCTGCATAAGATGAATGTAAAGTCCACTGATTAACAGAATGAAAGTGTAAAACAAAAGGGTATCTGCTGACTTTCATCATTATCTTTTATACATTTATGTTGATTTGTCCATTACTTTTTTCAATTGATCATCAAAACTAGCTTTAAAACTGACTGGCTGAATGCATTTCATTTAACCCCTTCCAGCTGATTTTAAGCCTTAGATGAAAAAAAAAAAAAAAAAAAAAAAAAAAAAGGATCTTCTAACCAGTCAAATTTCCACAATGACTATTTCATTCTTACTTTGCCAATGTCTGGCTGTGTGTGACTGATAAATTGGTTGTTTTTTCTTTGTTGATTGCAGAAGAGAAAGTGTCCATATAACTGAAACCAAATTTAGGACCTGTTTACATGGAAGTGGGGGACCCAGGTAGGTGAGGTAACCTGTAGACAAACAATCTTACAACCACTGGATGCCAGGAAGTTTCTTGAGGTTGTTGTTGTGCTTGCACTGAGGGAGTTAAGATGAAAAAAAAAATGTTTTTTCCTTCTAAGATTTTTGGCAATAACTGGATGCATTAAGCATTTCTGACAGTATAATGTCTTCACTTCAGCATAACATGTGAATGTGGTATTGAGTTCAAAGTAAAAACATGACAAAAATTGCTCTCAGGGTTTCATTACTGAGAGGATGTAAAAGGTGGTTAATTATTTAGTTCTGTATGGGACGGCTATGAAATGTGCAAAGTTTTGAAACACATGTTTTTTGCTATTGTTTTGCTCATTTGACATCTTTGCAACATGAACCCAACCCCCACTAGGCAGATTACCCCACCTTGAGACCTTTACATGGCAAATTGTCACCCCAACTGACAGGGTTACCCTACCTGGCAGACTGGGCTAATCCTGCCTGGGTGAGTCACCACACCTATCGTGTAAATGTGATCAAGATAAAATAAGAGATTACATGGAAAGGCAAGTTACCTTACCTACCGGGGATTCCCAACCTCCATGTAAACAGGCCTTTTATAGTTTGTTGTTTTCATCACAACCAGTGTCTGTTGTGTCCTTACATTGGTAACAAAAATGGTACAACCTTGGCTAGAGTCTAAGTCACCAGCTGTGAGCCACAAATTCATGTACCAAAAATATAACAGTCAATCTATACACAATTTTAAATACCAAGACTTCCATGAATTCTTAATTTCTGCTACCATATGTTCCAATATAATAATGTTTGTCAATGTGATGCATCATCACTGCTTTCGTCTTCACAGATTGATGAATTCTTCAGCTGTTTAAGAGCTTCTTCTGCCTTTTCTTCTTCTTTGCTCCACAGTTCATACCTTTCAGAACTGAGGACCTCTTGAGCATGATCTTGAGTCCAGCTCTTAAACATGTCTGCTCCTAGTTCTTTATGAAGTTCACTTCTCTGCATGTGGGATCTTGTGACTTCGTTGCTCATTCTAAACCAAGAACAAAATGCATATCAGTCAAGATCTATCAGGAATTGTATGGCACTATCAGATCATGCTACTTTATTATCATTGATATTTAGAAGTAAAAAATAATTGCACTCATAGACATCAGCACAAGACTCTAGGAAGACCCTCTTGGACCTAGACCTTCTTAGTAATGCACTTCGATTTTACTCAAAATTTTAAACATCAAAATTGGGCTATTCCAGAACATGAGAAGTTGAGAATGTGAAGCCTTGAAATAACAAAAAACAATCAGGCCTAAACAGGTGTTGAACTAATGACTGTACAAGAAAACCTTGGCAGTCTTCTAATCAACCAAGCTATGAGGAAAAATTGGCAGTTAGCCATCACATTAGCTTTTTAAATACCCATATATAACAATGAATATCAAAGAAGTGGGTGACAGTGGAAAACCTGTGGTTTTGATTTGTTGTAAGGGCTGTCATTGCTCAGAGATCTAAACTGCAACACCCCCTAAATTATTCAAAGCCATCGAAACTGTGAAGGATCAACTCTCATATGCAATAGGTCCACCAAAAAAATAAAGCCTGTCTACAGTTTGAGTATCATAGAAAAGATGAATTGATACAATTTTAAAGACATACTCCATAATGGTAATGATAATAATGACAATAATAATAAAAATATGCAACCACAATAACAAGGAAAATGCGTTCACAGTTATCTTACAAGGACGAGCACCAAACCTCGAAAAAAGTTTTCCAAAACTAATCTTGTTAACCTTTACCGTATTCTTTTAAAGTAAATCATTCAAAAAAACATAACTTGAAGGCATACGAGTGGTATTATGCTCAATTATGTACTCGACAATGAAGAAGAGAAACGGTGACAGTTGCTTTGTTTATCCGCAGCTGTCACATCACATAATTATCAAACTACTCACCGCTCGCTTTCCCTCAACGCACGCTGATAAAAGTTATTCATTCTCTCGGCATCTAAAGTCACATTCTCAGGGTTTTCAACGTCAGACCGCTGAGAAGAAGAGGAAAACATCAGAAAAAAACCGATGGGAGCGAGGAGATAAAAGCATTTAGGGTTCTGTGCAAGTTTCTCGTCGATCAGAGAGTAATTCATTGTCTAATAATGCCCCGAAAAAATGGTCATTTTCTGTTCTCTTATGTCTGACCAAAGATCATATGCTATGCACTTACCTCTGTAGCTTGAGCTTTACATTCATCGGCAACAAACTGTCTCAAACTGTCTTGATTCCCTTGATCATCGGCCATGTTTTTAACTCCTTTGTTTTGGAAACGGCTGGTAAGAGATAGGACACTTCCACTGATCTTACATGAAGCTTTCTCTATGGTACTGTCCACGTTTCGCCCGTGGAGCGCGATCGCCGCGTGCAAAATACACGTAAAAGATTCATTCCACATTAAAACCCTCTCTCCGCACAGTGTTCGTTATGATCTACCTTTCGTGCGCAAAAATCTTTTCCAGCCGCAAGTGCCCGCCTTTGAGATGCAACATTAACGAAGCTCACATCTATAAAAACTACGATCACGGCAAGGGTTCGGTGAATTTAAAGCTTCCCTGATGCATTTGAACACAATATCGCTGAGGTTTGCACCACCACTAAAGCGGGGGCTGACTCGTACGACATACATGAATTAAACCAGATTGTGATGAAAATTCAAAGGGGAACTTAATAACATAACTGCCTTTCTTTTGATTTTCTAGAAGTAGATGGCTTGCTGTTTTGTTTCCTTGTCGAGTTTACGCCCCTTTTTCCAGACACCATTGTTCACAGTTTGAACCACTTACGTGGCTAGCATTCCTTTTTAAACCAGTCTACAATTGTACACGACAATGATACGCTTGTAATTGTACGCCTCTTAAGTTTTGAGGCAGTTAAAGTTAGGAGATCGACGGAGTTAGATCAGAGATTTCACGTAAGTTTCACTCGTTCAAGTTACGTAACGTGTGAGTTTCTCTAAACCCTTAAAGACAGAATCAGACGGAAGTTGCAGCCTATCGTATTTAGTTTCGTTTTTCTTTCGATTTCGCTTCTTTTGTAATTAGCCTCGGCCCATTTTTAGATCTTGTACATTGTAATTTCCACTTTTAAGTTTTCACCGCAAGTGTATAGTATTCAGACAGGTTGAAAATCGCATGAAACGCTATTGAACCAACTTGTGTCGTCGATTTCTACACTTTGGTTGACGCTTCCCGAACTCTGGTGCACAACAGCCTATGTCCGCTGCATTGGGTACACGACAGAGATTTAATATAACGGCGCAAAAAGTAACAGACCGTAAGGGACAACTTATTGTAGGGCAGACCAACTGATAACGAGCAGAAAGCCAAAGGTAGTGCAGGATCACCACATTCGCATTTCTTTCCTACTTATCGGTTTCTCGGCAGTCAGTCCATTTGCTGCCTCTACCACGAAATCCAAACCTCAACTTGAATAACTTTGCTCTTTAACTCTTTACACCCTAGATCAGTTTGCATATTCTTTCTTCTTTCCTCCAAACAGGTGCTGACGAGTAAACTTTTCTTAACCAAGAAAGTTGGTTTAGTTGGTGATCATTTCCTTTATTCTCGTAACCATAATGAGTGACTTAGGGGTGTTATTGTAGGGAGAAGATAGATGGTAGTCGCTCTCAAGGGTCAAAGAGTTGGGGATAATGACAGTGAAATTTTCAGTGACATAGAATTATGCAAAACCTTTCGGTACTGTAGCTCCTATGGGCACCATAGTTTATTCCTTACAGAGGCCTTGTTTTGTTTCTCCAAGCTTTTCTTAAAGAACACTGAGTCCCCTGAAAGTTGGGTACTGACAACTCTTAGAGATGGAGAAATATCGCACCTAATTCATTAGTTACTATAAACGACTCGATGAAGCAGCTTTTAGTACAGACAAAACATTCACATAGTTTATGTACGAGTTGCTAATTTTTCACTCATTTCCACAAAGCAAAATAATACACCGACAGACTATCGCTATAAAAGCAAACTGCAACATTTAAAAGTTAACACTAACAGCCTTTGCAAAAAAAAAAAACCCTTAAAATTATTATTATATTCATTGATATAATCTTATAATTATACCTTAAAATGCCCCTTATGAAGGAACCTCTAGATACAGTGGTACCAAATTTCGAGAGAAGGTAATTTTTTCGATTTTTATCGTCTCAGTGGTAACAACGATAGGATGGATGGAGTAAATATTTTATATTCTTACGATTCGTTTATGAAAATAGCGAAAAATGTGTAATTAGATTTGTTTCTCTGGGTCCGCTACAGAAATCCTATCTGTTTTTGTCGTAACCTAGATTGTTACCAACGTGTTTGTCAAACGCAACGGCAACTTTCATTCAATTAACTGGTGACATGCGCACGTTGCCATGAAAAGATGAGATTTTCGGAGCAATTCTCAGCATCTTTTATGTTATGTGTTCAAATTCCCCTTCGTTCTTGTGATATGAGGTCTACCGTCGGAGAACCCAGCACATAACATCTCCAAACCGAGGTCTTGATCTTGGACTGTCTTCCGTTCCATGGCATCAAGGAACAACAACTATACAAGTCTCTGTGCCTTTTTTGTCTTCATTTTCTTGTAAAATGAGTATTCCCCGACAAGAAATTGAAAGAAGATTTTCATCCTTTGAGACAACGAGACTCCTTTGAGAACCCAAAGGTCTTTCCACGTTCTGCACCAGGATTAAAGGAAAAACAAAACAAAACAACAACCAAGCAGATAAACAAACAAAGAATAGTTAATTTTGTTGCATGGCAACAGGCCGAAGAGATGATAAGTACCAATTTCCCTCTTAACACAACGGAAAAAAAAAACCACGGCTACAAGGGAGGGGTAGGAGATAAAGAGGCTTAAGTTTAGTTCTCTCCGATTTAACAACTACGTTCGTCAGAAATGTTTGCTTTTCATATTTCTTTAGTAGAGAGATGTGAGGATCGACTGCAGTTGGAAGAGTATGACCACTTCGAGAATTTAAATTCTGTCCAGTGTGTAACTGTACCCATGGTATCCTTATGGAAAGCATTTATCATTAAACCTTGTCAGCTAAACTTTCCCTAAAGTTAAAAATAAAATGCAAAATTCTACTCGTATAATCGTTAACAGATTGGTATACCTGTGCATTGTGCCGCCTTCTGATGAGTAATATGTTGTACCACCGTCAGTAATAACCTTGAACTGGAAAAATGTTAACTGAGGATGAAATAAGATAAGATAAGTTGAAACGAAATAAAACGTGAGATGAGATGAGATGAGATGAGATAAAGTAACATAACACAAAGTGAGACAATCTTAAACATAATATAACAGTGATATCAAACAGAATTAGCTCGTATACATTGATGTAAAATTCTAAGCTTCTACAGCTAATGTAGAGTGAAATGTTGACACCAGATTTTCTAAATAGCGTTACAACAGTATTTTTTTCATTGAACTTCAATTATCAATGCATATGTTATGGAATAAAGTCCTATGAACGACATTTCATTATCATCTTTCAACTGTGAAAAAACAACAACAAAACAAACAAGCAAGCAATCATAGGACTTACGAAAAATACATAGAACAATCCAATACAATTGAGAATAAAGAGAACTGAAACATAGACATCGTGGCTCATAGCCTCCTGAAATAGTAAAAAAAAAAAAAAAATAGTTTTCAGTGATCAGTTTAAGAATAATTTAGCCAATTTTTTTCTTACAATCATTTCCAAATTCTTGCTGGCTCATTTAACCGTGAGCAACAGTATTCTTACTTACCCCGAATGAAGATGCCTCTCCCAAAAATACCTTTAAGTTAAAATCTATTTGTGGAAAAGAAAGGCTTAGTCAAACTTCACAAAATTGATATGAAAAATTACACATCAAACCTCAAAAAAAAAAAAAAAAAAAAAAAAGAGAGAGAGAGAGAAGGTCAGAAGTATATCAAGGTATCTTGGAAAAGTCCTTTTAAGCATTAGAGTGCACTTGCGATCGGTTTACTAGAGCGTAATAAGCCAATTGGGATGTTAGGGGGACACTCAAAAACATTTCGAGTGTTCTCTCAACATTACACACCGTTAAAGATAGAAAATGCAGTCTATTGCTTTAATAAAATAACTTGAACTTAAACAAAAATATGTTTAAATTTTTTTAGGTTTACCGGTGCAATACACAACACATTTTTGATCAGTCAGGCCGCACGTAGTATCTCAGTTGCATTTTATAATTAACAATCACTGACGACATGTAGGTTAGTAGGCCTTCAACTATCTCTCTTAGCTACAAACTCAACTCACAAGAAACTGCCGACCTCACAAACAGCGCATTGGCCACTATTATTTCAGTCATGAAGCACACAAAAGCCCTGTGGTTATTTCTTGCCACACAGTTCAAGAGGAACAGACAGTGGTGATCCAAACTCTCTATACATACTTCGCACAGTTTGCAATGTTTGGTAAATTCAGGCATCACAATCTGTCCAGAGAACATTGAAACAATTTGTTGTGAGTGGTACAATTGTAACATTCGTTAGTTGCCATAACTTTTCTCGGTAACTTTTTTCACTGTATTACCCCTAAACATTGATAAACGCGTGTCTTGACGAGACGCTGAGACGGTGACACACAATTTTCTCTAGAAAATTTCATTTGCACACGAGACAAGCCATGAATTTTTAGAGGGAGCGAAAATTCCACTGAACGAAATTTCGGTGAGAACGCTTAAAGCAGCCATTTAAACAACAAGTTTACCTAATTTCCTCAACATTTCCGTTAAAGAAATATTGTACTCACCTTCGCCTAAAAGCCCCCCAAAGGCGACAGACTTCGTCCAAAACACGTTCGCATCACCCTCATGAGATTATAATTTTCTTTTCATTTCAGAAATATAAATGTATCGACCATTGACAGCGAAACCAACACAATTGTGGAGAACTTAAGCACTGGATTGCAAAGTAATAATCTATCCGAACTTTGGAATAACCATGAAACAGCAGTGATGCTATACCTCGCAAACGGTGCAAAATTGGCTCTCTGGTATAACTCCTTTGGCTACATCGAGAATGTTCTGTTGAGGAAATAAATTCAATTTTTGTGTTAGAAGGAAAAATAGTACTAATAAAAAACTACCAAATTTCCTGGTCTTAAAATTCCGCGTGAAACAATAAACAACTATACGAGGAATCAGGGAAGAAAACCCACCAGAGTCACAAGCTCTGTAGGTTAATCCCCAGAGCATGCAGGTGAGGCCAACGATTTGACGCTGAATATCAAAATATCGAGATCTGAATACGACATTGATTGATTTTTCCTTGAATTATTTCCTGCTATTTTAAGAATGGATGAGGTCAAGCCCGCAAGATTCAAGCCGGCAAGCAAAGAGAACATGCGCGAGGTCAGTGTGGAGTCTGGCACTAAAAACAAGTCCGGACTTCTCGCGCGCTCATATCGCTCGACCACTGGAAAAGCGTGGGCTTCACCACCCGTATTGCATCGTCAATGACAGTCTGCTCGCAAGCTGTTACACTGAACACTTTCAGTTCCTATTTGATTCCCTCATACACGTATTATATCCATGGCCCAAGAGGAGAGGTCCAAACCGATGTGTCGCTGTTGTCTTTTAATTCTTACCAATGATTCCCCTGTGTCTGATATTCTATTGGACGTCACAACACCAGGGTTAGAATATAAACTCCTGCGAACAAATGGAGCGAGATCTCAAAAGATTCATTCTACACAATGATATTTCACAAATCAATTAAATAAAATCAACATCTTGCCGCCGCTTTTCGACCTCAACAGAAGAACAGAGTTTTTCATCAGGTAAAAACATACGTAAATATTATTCTAATTAATGCCCTGGCAAGGTATTGTGTTTATGTGCTTCGGCAAAAGACTTTGTACTCTATTCCCCGCTCGCACAAAGGGGTAAATGCAGTGAACTGTCGGGGAATCTAACGAGATTTGATGGGGAGGGTCCAAATTTTGATACTGAAACACCAATATTGATTTTTCACACCAGAACCTAGATTAGCAAAGGAATATTTCCCAACAACCATATTTTAAATCCTTCAAGATTAGAGGTAATATGCAAACCTTCAGCTGGAAAAATTTTGAATTTAGAAAAGAAGTAAAAAAATCCACACAAGTCTGATGGGGTGAAGGGGGGGGGGGTGAAGTTGGGACCCCACCACCCTCCCTCTGGACCTCCACTCTTATCCCTGGGATACAAGGATACTTTGTCCAAGATGAAGTAGACCTCCCACAAGTTGCTTCAATTGCTATCGTAACGGGATAAGCTTAAGACTCACCAAAAATAATAAACTGAAAAAGGCCAGCAAATGAAACACGCCATTTTATCTCACTAACCTTAATGATACAAAAGTGACTGCCAAAAGAAGAACTGCTAACGAGCTCCAAAGAAATTCCGGCCACAGTTGTGAATAACGTTAAGGATATATTTTCTGGGACAATTAGCACACAATAAGAGAGAAGAATGTAGAAAACTATGGCATAACATTGAATACTATTCATTTTCCGACACTGTTACCATTATATAAATACACTACCGACATTACTCACAACGCTAACATTACTCACGAATAAGTATTGCTAGTAACTGATATTAGCCTTATAAGTAATGTCAGTAGTATAAGTACATGGATCGTCAAGAGCGCTGAACAAAGTACTCAAGAGTATAACAATATAATTTGGCTTCATCAACAGAGTTGATAACGTTGATTGACCACTATAAAGACGTTTCGAACGTTAGCCCTACGTCACTCGCTCTGGCGTAGACCTAACGCTCAACACATAAGACTGGAAACTCTTTACGGTCACCAATTTATATCATGAACTCAGTTGATAATACCAAATTACCCTGTTATACACCCCATCGACACAGCACCACAGTTTCTTAAAAAATTTACCCCCTTTATACTTAAAGAGTATAGTACAGTCACAAGATATTGAATTCTAAGTGTGATATATCAAGTAGTGTTAGATTGTTAGAAGTGTCATTAAATAAAAAGATCTGTGTAAAACAAATTCAAATCTGCACTGATTTCTAAAATTCGACATCACTGGAGTGAGCTCTCGACTATCATGACAGCGTAACCGAGAAAGTCAGAGAAATGACCATCTGAAATTTTCATACATATTCACCGTCGAGTGGGTAATGAAGATTTGACCTCATGACCCCGTAACTTCATCAGTCAAATGCTCTACCACTGAGCGAAAGGAACTGGAGCCAAGATAAGCCTGATACAAACACATGAAGTTTACTACTCGTAACCAACTTTTATGTCTTTCCTATTAAACAGATTACCGGTGGTACTGAATTCTTAAAGGATATGAGGCATAATATAAAAAAAGTAGCAGAAGAGGCTTTGTAGTATGGACCCAAAGAAAAACCCTGCCAGTGCAGGACTTGGAACGGCAGAGATGTGCTGCAATCTGTGTTTGGAGAACGACCAGATATTGAAAAATATAACAATTGCCACTGTTGAGAGTATTGCAAATGTAAGGGGGAGCTGATAGAAGGACAAAGCAATGAGGAATATTCCAAATGAGGGCGACAGAAGCAGGAGGAACCATGGCATCCACGGGTTAGGTGGACGACTACGAGGGCAGCGGCTGGCTTGCCAGTACTTCAGATGTCTCTTCAGCCACAAGTGTCTACAATATGGAAAACGGAGGAAAATTATGGCTACCAGTAAGTGCACTTGATCAAAACAGGTCATAACATCTTTATCTGTTCCACAACCAAGCTCAAAAATTTACCATCTTTCTTCCTCAAATTTATCTCATGAAGTTTATAACACAAAACAAGACAACCTGAAGATGGATAACATTTCACCCTATTCCAATACCTACTCAAAATTTACCATCTTTTTCAAATTCTACTAACAGTAACTCAAATGACTTTTTTTTCCTTATTGCTGGTCCTAGCAGCTTCCAGGATGCAAGTCACACATAAACCTACACATATTTACACAGGCCGCCCAAGCTCCAGCTGTGAGATGATCATCTTGCATGATAAGCGTCTTTGTGATAATATAAGAGTTTGTGTGGGAAGAAGAATAGTTCGAAGTAGGAAACCTAGAAATGGATAACTCGCTAAAATGACCTCATTTCAACAAAATAAGCAGTCAGACAACATGCGATGCACTGTGGAAGGTGAGATATTACATATTGAGACTTTGACTGTATTTTTACTTCCTAGGAGCAGTCATAACTATTCCTTAACAACTCTTACATTTTTGCCATGACACCTATTATGCAAGATGATCATCTCTTGGGCTGCCTGTGGTAGTAATAGCCTTGCTTTCCATCCGATGGTGGTATTAATTTTCTTAACTAAATGAGTAACTGTCAAGATTTAATGGACTCATTAAGAGACATCACCAAACATCATATTGAGACCAAATATTATCTCACTTGAACAGCTTGCTGGATCATTTTAGGTTGTGCCTCAAGTGAGAGTTTTATTGTAGTAGGAGTCTTATGCCATACACTGTACATTACCTTGGAGTTTCTACATCACTAGCATAGTCCAGAGGAGTTTTCCCCATCACGTCTGGTTCATTGATCATTGATAATGTGCTTTTGCTCTCCAAAACCCATGCAACTTCACTGCGTAGAACAAATCACCAGAAAAATAAGAAAGTCAATTCAAAAAGATTCTAGATGACATTTTGTGATGCAATCAAAAAGCAACTGCACCTGTCTCCATCTCAAAAGCTAATACGTGAATCACTGATAAATGTGAGGGTTACACCACATGTGGATTTTTATTTCACCGTTATACTCTACCATCAGTATGCATTTTCTTTACACTGTTTTCTATACATTTCCTAAGGTTCTAACAAGGAGAATTTGTTTAACAATCAAGAGTTTCTTTAGTTGATGATCATTCTCTTAATTCTCGTGACCATACTGTGTAATTCAGGGCTGATATTGTAAGGAGAAATTAAATGCTAGTCACTCTGTTAAAGGGTTAATTTTGACTAAGTATAAATGTACAACTTCAATTGTATTCAAACACCTGAATTGACAGTTCAACAAAAACTACACCTGGTTATTTAGCAAGCTGTATTCTGGTGAAATACTCCACAAGCCATTCTATTAAAACTTTAATAAAATACAAAGCAAAGTACAGTCTGTAATGTTTTCTTACATTCACGATTGTTCTTACTAAATGAAACTGATCAACTAAATATAAGTATCCTAAATGATAGGCCTTGGATCAATCTACCAAAAACATTTTTTTAAGAACTCATAATTGTGTAATGCAATGTCATATGCCAGCTTACCAGTGTGCATGCTTGGCAGCTAAGTGAAGAGGTGTACAATTTCCACTGTCTCGCACATCAGTAGGAAACCTCTGCAGAGAAAAAGTAACTGCATTTACAGTACATCAAAATATTAAATTACAGGACAAGAAATTTATCCATATTTTTTGCTTGAAAATTAATATCTGCATTTGGCTCTACTAGAAAATTAGATGGTGCAAATTCTCTTTTCTAATTAGTTGTTGTTTTTCCCTAGTGAAAACAAAATTATTCAGCCCATATTTAAACTGACCTCCATGACATTGTTTGATCAAACTTGTACAAATTGTGAAATTTAATTCACAGATAATTTAAGTATGAATTAACTTTAGTATGAAACACAGTACAATCAGAGTTAATTGGTGATGCTTTGTACCATTAATCATTTAAATTTTGAGAAAATCTAAAACAATTGCACTTTAAGAGATGTCAAATAATTACCACAACAAAATCTTAGAGGACCAGTAAATCCCACCCAAGCATTTCAGCACACATTTCTAGTGTGTAAATTATGTCACCTGGTGGTCACTGTCCATGGAACAGTTTATCTTATTATAAATAAAAATAATATCTTCAAACAAACAAACAAACAATTAAACAAACAACTCTATTTATAAGGAGGGTAACACAACAGTAATTCAACTGGCCCTTGATCCTAAAAGTAACATAATTAGAAATAAAATGTATTTGAGGATTATAAACTGGTTGACAGGTCTATGGGAATATAAGCTAAAAACTAGATAACATAAAATATGCTGCTTGGGTCAGGCTAAATCGCATTTGGACTAAAATGTTCTACTTCATCATAGCTAGTAAAAAAATGTCTGTGAAAGCCTTTCTGAAAGAAGCAACTGTTCTTGCCTCTTTCTTTAGCTTAATGGGTAGCTGGTTCCACAATCTTGAGATTCCACTATCTTCAAAAATTAATGTGGTTTTGCTTAAAACATTCAGTAGTTGTGTGGGCATTATTTTTAATCTGCTAAACTTTTCTTTCCACAGTGACTAAAAATTGTTTAATTTGAATTTGCTGCCTTATGCAAAAAAAAAAAAAAAAAAATACAGGGTTTATGGTGTTTCCAAGAAAATGGTCCATATGGCAAATCCTGGTTTAGTAAGAACTTATCAGAAGGCTCAGATTTCCTATCTTGCCATATAATGAAAATTCCATGTGCTCTTTGTATCCAATCACTCAGTGAGTGAAAATTTAATATAATAAATTGTAATAAAAAAATGTAATCATGTTTAGCTGGGGACAAGTCATGCTGTCAAGCCATGAGTAAAGAATTTTAATATGTAGTTTAGCAATAAGGTCTGTTGGAAATTGAAGCAGCATTAATTGCAACAAATGATTTGAAAGAAGAGACTCCATGGAAAAAAGCTAAACTTCAATCCCAATATTAATCTAAGTCCTTACGAATTACATATTTCAAAAATTTTAACTAAACATTTTTTAAACCAAATATCAAATATTTGGCAAATCTTAGCTTCTGCCTTAATGGAACTTTTTCATGCATAAAGAAATCAACTTCATTAATCTAACGTGCTAATTGAAAAAAAAGATTCAATTAATAACATTCTCCAATTTCATAATAAATTTATGTATAACTACATGTACATGCAGCATAATGAAATAGTGATTTCCTTTTCAATCATGTAAATTAGCGCATCTGGACATACCTTGTGACGAATCAGATATTCTGTGGCTTCTAGCTGACTGTTCTCTGCAGCTATATGAAGGGCAGTCAGACCTCTATTGAAAAAAATTATATATTTTAGTCTAGAGAACAATTTTAAAGCAAAAAACAGAAATAGTAAACTGAGTCACCTTGTTTCAAATGACTTCTGAGTTTCTTGTTTTATGGAGACAAAATTAAGGACAAGCTTTTACTGATTAAAAAGAATGATCTCTGCTCTCTATCCCTACCTACCTCCAGACCTAAAGCCAAATATTTTCTCAACCTGCTCTTCTAAAAAATAAATAAGAGAATTCTGCAAAGAGGGCAGAATTCTATTACAAACTTTCTATGCCCTGAGCAATTTCCACTGTGTCTTGGCACCATTATGCTATGGTGCTATCTCCTGTTCCATGTACCACACAGTATCCACAAGTTACTAAATTATAGTATTACAACAATCAAAGCCTTGTGTAATCATGAGCTATACTTATTAACCCTTTAACTCCCATGAGTGACCAAGACAGAATTTCTCCTTACAATATCAACACAAAATCAAGAAGACAAGTGATGAGAACCAAGAAAAGTATCAATTGGTGGAAATTTATTAGCTGACCCAAAACAAAATTCTCAGAAGTAACATCAGAAGAATTGTATTGCAGACAGTAAGGAGAAACACTAATGAGATCTTAGGAGTTTAAGGGTTAAGATTTACCTGTTATCTCTTTTCTTTAGACTCAGACCACATTCTGTCAAGTAATGCAGCTTTAATCTGGCAAAAAATAAAATGATGGCAATAATATACAATTGTAAAATCAGATAATAAAGTTAAATTCCTTTTTTTTTTCTATCATTTTCCAAGAAAGATAAACACATTTCATTTCATTTTTTTCATTTCATTTTATTTTTATTTAAACACGGTCAATTCATCTAAAAATGACAGCAATATCACAAAGTTATGAATGTTTAAAACTGAAACTAAATAATATCAACACAGGTAAAAGCTGTTAAAATCAAATGTTTGACTGATTAGACTTAAAAATGGTTTCATTGATCTTATGTTTAAATACCCCCAGAGACTCTGTGTTCCTTATATCACATGGTAGACTGTTCCATAATGTGGCGCCATTGTAGCTAAAGCACGGTAATAATTAGTGTGCGGTAAGGGAACATTGAGCTTATTTTCAGAGTCCCTGAGGTCATAAGCAGAGTCACGCCACGTAAACTTTGAACACAGATACTCTGGAGCTAGCCTGTGCACCTCTCCACGTTGAAGAATGAACAAGACCTGAGCCAGCAAGTATGACAAAGTTATGAGTAGATATTAGTAAGTACTAAGGAATAAAATAATATCAACAAAGGTGAAATTTAAAATCAAATGTTTGAATATCAATTTAATAACATCAATGGAAAATAGAAGAATTCAAAATTTTCTCTTTCCACTTCCCTAATTATTCCTTCCTTCAGATTCTGTCATATGTATTTCAATTATCCATCTGTTTGAAAACATTTCATTCATTTTTTAAACTTTTTAATCTTACACAGACTTCTATTCAACCTCATTGTTGTTGAAAAAACAATATTTGGTAGATTCTAAGGAGAATGGCTGTTTTGATTTAACTGTCTGGTTATAAAATTAATGAGAATATTTTAAATCTCTAATAATATGAATGGAGACATCCATAACTAAGAGGTGGACTGCAACAGGCAGTTTACATTTTATTCCTTTGCTTAAGATTGAGCAATTTGTTCATCATGAAACTGATAAGACTTGGATAGAGCCAATGGCTATGCACCACACTAATGAACTCTAAATGCAAAATTACTATAGAGCAGTATATTACCACTTAGGTATCTGTGCATGTATTATTAGTGATCAATCAACTAAGCAACAAGTTTATTTCTAGCTTTTAAGAAAGTTTTGTTTTCCTTCTACCCATTCATTACACAGTTTTGATTGTTTCAATGTTTCATTAGCATTCATAATTTATCCCTGATTGTGAGACCATATTATGTTTTCTGTATCCTTTGGATACCTCTGATGTAATAGTCTAGTGTTTTATGTACGTAAGTTAAAATATACATTTAATAACATGTCTGGTCATGTCCCAAAACAAGCCTCTTTCTGTTTTGGTGTTTAATACTAGTGAAAATGTAAAGAAGCTTTTTTTTCTTTTATCATAGTGCTTCAAAACTGATCACCACTTCATCAGATAGAATGTTCTTTAAAGCTGGATAAGGCTTGATTTGCCATCTAATAGGGCTCCATAATCACCGCTTCATTTCAACAATAATTATATCTTATCACTACCCAACACTGTTATGACATCTACTAATGTGCAAAACAATTTAAAAAAGGAAAACCCCATGAACAAATGCTATGAATACCTAAGAATTTTAACATTGGAAATGTGTAAAATTTAAGAAAATTCGTTTCTCTGATGTAAATAATGATATGGTGCTTTTCGAAACTCGAATGTTCATTTCACACCGATTTTAAGCTTTATTAATTGAGTAAATTATATCACTGAGCATTAAATGAATTCCATAATCCATTACCGGTCACAAAGAAATTGAAACTTGATTAGATTAACAGAACGAATAAATCCAACGACATAAATTCAGGCTATCAAATGCACGTATAGAGAAATACAAACAAACAAATCAAACAAAAATCATCTTCCGCTATTCGATTCATTAATTGACCGGCAGTAGTCTAAATTTCTCTAAAAAACACTTACACAGATCCACTTTTGGCAGCATGATGAATGCATGTCCTTCCAGCGCTATCCTCTGCTCTCAAGTCTGCACCAATCTCCAGCAACTTGTGGACAAGTTTTAAAGAGGCAACTTGGCAAGCGAGGTGCAGCGGTGTCTCCCTGTAAGCGTTTGGATGGTTGATATTAGCACCATACTGCAGTAATAAATCTATCAATTCTTCATTATTTTTTAGCGCCGCATGGTGCAATGGTGTTAGACCATGCCATCCTACAGAGTTGGCGCATTTTGGATCGGCCTGAAGTAAGTCTTTTAGGTCAGTAATTTTATCGTTCAAAATGACATCGAAGACCGCCATTTTGATAAAAGCTTTGTTTTCTCATTTGGGTAACCGCTGAAGATAATTCTGTCTGCTCGAAAATGCCACTCCCGATAAGGGTCGGTGGAGTGGATAGGGGCATTGGTCACATAATGCCTGAATGTGTGTGCTAAAAATTAGGAGAGGAAGACGCAATTGCATGAAAAACTAAAGCGAAACGGTCATATATCATGACTAGGTTGTAAATTGTCTCAGTTGAGGCAACGATATTGGGAGTCTTTTCCTTCTCCGAGTGGTTTTAAGGGTCATTTTATTGGATCACACTCGACCAGTAGCTTCAAATGTTAGAGGAGGAGCCAAGTCACTTTCTCTATCTCTATACTTGATTGAAGTGGAATAATTCCCATTCCTTGGATGAGTCATGTGAATTGCAGCTGGACAGAAAAAAGTGGCTGTTAGCAAGTATGAGCGACTTTTGTTTATTGCAGTAAGAAACACAATCGAGAAATTGATTGGTTCGCAATTGGTTTCGAGCGAGGGAGGACTCCATGCTTAGTTTCGAGCGATGCATGTGTTTCAAACTCATTATTTGAGGGGAGGGATTCCTTGAAACTCATACCATTTTTCTCCTAACAGCACTTTTCAATCAAAATTTTTCCAACACTGGAAAAATGAATAAACGAACAGACAAAAGAACACGACAAACAAATAATCGAATGAACAAACGACTGACATGCCAACGAATAAACAAAGAAATGGGCATGCGAAATAAGGAGCAAACAAACGAACAAACTCTTGAGTGAGCGAACGTATGAAAGAGGCTATGAACGAACGAATGTGAAAGAACGAATGAAATAATGGACAAATGAATAAAAGACTGAGCAAGTAAAGAAATGGGTAAAAGAGAACGAAAGGAATATGCTCGTTTTTTTTTTCACAATGGTCTACCTAAGTATCTCTCTGAAGAGCTAGAGAATATTCAGCGCCGTGCACTTAGAATAATTTTCCCAGTCTTAAGCTACCAAGAAGCTCTTAAAGAGTGCAATATTGCCACCCTCTAACAACGGCGCCGATTGCTGACGGAGCGCCTATTCAGTGAGATCAAAGACAACACCTGCCACAAATTACATGGCCTTTTGCCGTCATGTAATCTTGGTACCGTAGCCTTAAGGAGAAAGCGCACTTTTAACGTACCTTTTTGCAGAACAAATAGACTGAAGAAAAGTTTTATCATATACAACGCGGCTATTTCCTAATGGCTTTATCATATGTAACACGAATTTTAATATACATATATAGTATTTTTTAGCCTTTTTTTTTATTTAGTTTTTTATTCTTTTTGTATTTAGTATTAAGTAAACATTTATACAGTCCGTAATCCAGCCTTTTGGCTGCAATGGATTTTAATAAAGCTATCTATGGAACGATGGAATTGACGAACGAAATAAACCAATGAAGGAGTCAACGGATGAATGGACAGGCGACTAGGTTGGAGAACTAGAGCGAAGTCAGAGTTAGTCAGCCACTGACCAGTCAGTCAGTCAAATCTATCATGACATATCATTTTGATTAGGCGGTTAGAATCTGTTTGGCAACACAGTGCATCGCAGTTTACGGTGTTTATTCCGGTACGTCGCGAAAATTGTACAAGTTTATATCTATCTTGTCTCGTCCAGGCCTCCCTCATTTCTTGCAGCTCAGTGTCCGAGGTGTCATGAGCTTGTTAAACTTGTCACCTAACCATCAAGCATTGCGCACTCTATTTCCCATTCAAAGGTACCCGATGTTGAGGCGGTCTCGCAGTACATCTGCGAAAGAGCATTTTTTTCTATAAGCAGTAGCAATACTTCCGTAAAAGTGGAAATTTGTCTACGATGCAATATGGCTGATTTCCATAAGCATCGATTCGACTAATATCCCCTCTTAGCGAAGGAACACCTTTCTTCATTTTGATCGTAGCCTCATAAAATCCATCATTCGGAGACGTTGTGAACTGCAACTGATACAATGTGTTCTCGGTTAAAGTGTTGACGGATTTTTCACCGAGTATCACTCCACAAGAATCACAGTCATCATCTCGGCTACTTTTCTCAAAGAGTTGCAATTTTACATTTGGCATGTCGATGTATGCGCTTTGGACTTCTTTTAAAACAAGCTTTTGACAAAGATTTTCTAATGCAGAGTATTTTGACATTAAATTGTTCATAAACTTAACCACAAATTCTGCTAACATCTTTATCAGAGGCTTGTTTGTTGAGACTTCTTCTAAGTTCAGACATGGACACCAGTGCTCCTCGACACCGCTATTTTCACACGTGCGATTGTCTTTGTCAATCCTGTTAAACAGGCTTTGACCAGTCGTTATCCCGCTCGGATAATTTGGATACGACAGAATGTGACGCAGGGTAGCGTACACATCAAAGGGCGTGGTCAATACTTCTGAATTATGAATCAAATTCTTGTATAAATTTCGATACTTCCTGGTAAACCACTTTGGTACTGTGATGGACATGAAGGGAAGTCTCTCCTCTAGCTTCCCTTGGATTGATTTTCTCACATCAGAAAACCTAGCTCCATGGTCTCCGAATATAATCAAGAGGGTCCTGTTGAGAAAGAACTCTTTTTCCATGGTTTGCAAAATTGTTTTTAAATCATCATCGGTGTAACCAATAGTGTTCTGATCGTCGTGTGAGATCACCGCGTGTGTCACCAGTGAAAATTTTGGCCTGTCTTTGTAAGCGCGATAGAAGCTCATCAGATACTCCAGTGAAATATTATGGGAGGCACGGCCACTGATGCAATGGCCTTTAATGATATTTTCTGCCTCCAACCAGAATGGTCTGGAATAATGATCCGTGGGCGGATCTTTGAAACCAAGTAGACGATAATTGAATGATGCGACACGTGGAAAATCCTCGGAGAATAAAGTGGCGTATCCGTGTTCTTTGAAATCTTTAAAAATCCAGCGCCACTTATCAACTGTGTCTGAGTTACTTTCACTTCGTCTGGCTTCAGGCTGGTGCTTTTCAGCAATCCCAGTGAGCAATGCACAAAGCTGAGCCGTTGTACCATCACCAACAATTGTCTCTCCTGGAGAAAATTTAAACGGTAAGAGAGAAAAGAAAGTTGTCAAGAAAGACCTGCTTGCGTAGAATTTGTCCTAAGGGAAGAGACTAGTACAAGTCATACCAGTCATTATTTATCACCTTGGGGGAAGGGTCGGTGGATTTTTTACAGGGGGGGGGAGAGTGAGGGGTCGGATGCTTCTACAGAGGGGGAATGAGACGTCGCACGAGATCACATGATCTTTTGGTCGTCGCCAACAGAGTATAAAGTTGAGACTATAGATAATTTACTGCCAATTAACTTCCAATGATTAGAATATTACGGAACCTTTAGGGGGATCAGGTAAATTTTATTGTGACTCAACCAAATTATTTCAGTCGCTTCTTCCCCCTTCCCTCCTTCCCTCTCCCCCTTCCCCCTCCCCTCCTTCCTCCTTCCCCCCTTCCCCCTTCCCTCTTTCCCCCTCCCTCTTCCCCCTCCCCTCTTTCCCCCTTCTCTCCTTCCCTCTCCCCTCCTTCCCCCCTACCCCTTCCCCCTCCCCTTCTTCCTGACGACAGATCATGACAGGTTCCCAGCACTATAGAACTTCCGTCGTCGTGTCAGGTTTTGCATAGACACGTCGAATTGTCAAGTTAGAACTAGTGTCATGTCCTTCCGGTCACCCTGCTGTGGAAACGTTACAAATCTTTTCGAATCTTTTCCGAACTTGTTCAGAGATGCTAATTAATATAAGTGTGGAATACGCTTTTAGAAGTGAAAAATGTATATGTTTTTTAAAAGGGTGGCTCTTTTCCATTCATCGACATACCTTTTGAAAAGAAATGCGATGAAATAATTAGCAAAAATGTCAAGCAAATAACCAAGCAAAAGAATTGACCGCGTTAACGACAGAAACCATTACCAACCTTGAAGAATAATTGAATTGAGGTGCTTCGTCAAATATTTCAAAGTGTTGGGCATCTTTCTTTGGAAATTAGCAGCAGATGTGGAATCAAACATGATCAATGAGATATCCAGTGGAATACCACCAGCCTTCACCGATCTTGATAAGACTTCCTCTTTAGGTATGACCTGCATATGCACATCACTCTCCACGTCACCGGACGTCGTAACAACATCGACTCGGACAAAATCAGATTTGACCTTAGCTTTCCCCAAGAAACTTCCTAAGAATTTAAAGCAAACGTCAAGAAATATTTGACTACATTGTCGCACTGCTTGAATTGAAAAATTCTTTCGGATGCAAACTATATTTGACCCGCCTTACTAACCTCCGTCTTATTACACAGAAAAAGAATACATACCTCTTACTTACCGAGTTCAAAGTCCGTACTGTAAGTTGCGGACCGAATAAAAAAAAATTCCGTAACTTACAGTACGGATGAGGAAAAGAGGTGAGCAAGATATTTACAATATCGATCGCTAGAGCGGAGATATTTCAACTCAAACAAGCTTTTGAGTTTAGAGGGCCATACAGTGAAATACGGTCCTCTTAATTGACCAATCATAGCGCACGTGCTAACTGAGAGATACGACAAAAGAGATTATTACTGAAGATTCACCCTACGAGGAGCCTTAGCTTCATGTCACGAGATGACTTTATTTACCATCTGTGACGTTACTATAGAATTAAATGCGTGTATCATACTTACCAGAGTTGGAAGCAGTCGCTTTTCTTCGAAAAAGCCAAGACCACTGAAAACCAAAAGAAAGGCACCGACGGGTTACTAAAGCTTGGTTAGCTCTAAGAGTGACGAGTATCTAACTTCTCCTAACAATATCAAGCTGAATCAAACATCAAAGGTCGCAAGAACAAAGGAGATGATCATCAACCAAAGAAGCTCTCGATTGTTAAGCAAATTCTCCTTGTCAACACCTTAGGAAATGTATAGAGAACAGTATGGAGAATATACGAACTGATCAGTTAGAATGTTAAGGGTTATGCTCAATAACAGGTAACATGAGATGATTTCAACACAACGATAGGAAACCTCTTTTTAACGTCTATGGATTGCAGCGATCAGTTTTTTACAATAGAAAACAGCTGTTTGCAGAAAGGTTGTTGGAAAAAGCGCAAGAGTACGCAACACTGACGAAAGGCACTAAAGCAGTGAGGGTAGTTTTTAGTCCCTGGTTCCATCATTTTCCTTTCAGAGAAAACAGCGCTGTAAGGTTTAGCGAGTTGATGATTTTTTTTTTCATTTTTTTGCGCAAGACTGACTTTTATTTCTAAATTTAATGAAAACGAAAAACGAACTCAGTGACCTAAATAAACGGCGAAAATTTGAGGTCAACAGAAATCAGGTTGATTGGTTTCGAACTCTATCAAGAAAACAATTTCTTAAAAAGTTTTAGCCTTGGTGTAATTGGGGTATAAGTTTGGGCTAACTACTAAGAAATTTTATTAGGTTGATTTGTGGTTGCAGCTGATGGGCATATTTCTTTTTATAATAAAAAGGGCACTTTATTGTAGAAAGTGCTAAAGCATTTTTTTTGAAATTTACATTTTTTAATAGCTAAGGCACAGTCTTAAAAGTTATTTCATTAACAGTTAACGGAGGGTTTCAATGAGTTTAGCCGGCTCCTGCCGATAATAACACGCCATCATGAGTAAAAATTGACAAATTTTAACCGTTAGCGGTAAAAGAAATAAAATAAAAATAAACCGTCTCCCACATCTCTGTAGACAGACCCTTATATTTACATGCGATTTCAAAAGTAATGGTCATGGATCAAAGCACCGACATACAAGTGTTAGTTCAATGAAAGGCAAAGTAACAAGCAAGACGTATTAGTTGGCAATTCAAAACAAAATAATAAACAATTCAGAACAAAATACAAGAACTAGATCGAAACCCAGAAAAATAACACTTGAACTGCGCGACCGTAAAAATACGAAAAATTCGTCAGAAACTAAAACACATAAATTGTCGCCTAACACGTTAGTCGTAAAAAAAAAAGCAGTAAAAAATTTTTACCTTTCTAAAATTTGTTATTTTGTCTCATTTTGGGTTAACCGATAGCCGTGAAATGGGAAGAATTTTCACAGGTTGCCGTAAAAGCCATCTCCCAATTGAGTTCCTCTTAACAAAGATCGTGGTGTTCAGTAACGTTAGTGGCCTGTTTATTTTTTAATAAATATTTGTTTAAGCTTGCCTAGTTCGCAACGGGCTGAAATGTTTATTTTCGTCCAAGAAAGAAACAGAAAATGCCGTCAAGCGCCATTTGAAGTCCTTGTGGAAACACATTAACTAATTTATCTTGTTTTTCTGTTTATGTAACTTGAGCGGAACTGACCTGTTACTTGTTACAAGTTTATCTTAAACAGACCCTGTACTGAAAAGAACAAAGCAAGGTCTTCAATCTGTCTTCGATACAATACCAACAAGAAAGATTTCTCACCGGAATCAATCCCCTTTGGTTTGGTTGCACAGTCGGCTTGACCAGGTTCCACATCTCTATGGGATCGGAAAGCTCAGCCTTGGAATCATCTCCACGTGGTCGTTGAATTGTTCTATATTTCGCGGAAGAAATCCCTTTCCCTTTCACTTCGAGAATGTCGCCTTTGAAGTTCGAATATGTCTCTCCCTTGCACTCAAGCTTGCCAAGATCTTTCATGAATTTCATTATGCTAGGGTGGTATGGATCCAAGTTAGGAAGACGACAAGCGGAACTGAGCTTTCCCACTCGTCTAACATATTTCATACGACCAAACCAGGTTTCGCTAATGTTATAAGTGCTCGCAGGTAATTTATCATAGCCTTGAAAATACAAAACTGTAAAAAAAATTCCACAAAAAATAAGAAGGATTTTAAAAGCGAAGCGGAGGCAACGTAACGGCATTCGGTTTGAGAGCGTAAGATGTACTTTTCGTCCCTTTCACATTTCATTAACAGTGCAAATGCAGTTATAATAAGGCGTGCGCAGGTACCAGTGTGGTACTGTCACACGAATAGTGACAAAGCTTGCCTTAAATAAAAGGACCCGTTAACTATCGCAGGAGACGCCGTGGCTGGATAAAGATTTCCTCAGCTCTGACCAGGTTCATTTCGAGAGCTCAAAATACAATTCTCCATATTTCCAGTCGAACGATTTTCAAAGGATTTAAGTCTAAAATCGTATGCGTGCCATGCAGCCGTCATTACTACGTTAATGTTAGAGAGAAATCTCCTGTGCAGTTTTTGAGGACGGTCTCGAAGAATCCTCCATTCATTTTTCTCAACTTCAGGATTTTCCTTTTTGAGGTTAAGGCCCCACTATTGCATGAATCTGACTGTTTAAAAATTACTATGCCTCAAAGTTATTTGCTGATTTATCAACCGAGACAGGATATTGTTTACAGAAAGGCCTCCAAATTAAGCTCTATAGACACATTTTGAATAGGTCCTAAGCTATTGTGCTAAATTTGAAACCAGCTCCTTACATGGATGAGGAACTAAAGCTCAGGGAATTAAAATTATTTATTTTGGTTTTTACTATGATCTTTCCCGGTCGTTAATTCGTAGTTAGCCCCGTTTATCTCGGAAATGGCACTTAATTAATAGAGGTGGCTGCTTAACAGAGGTGAAAATTACAGCTATGAAGTGGAAAATATTTTTTAGGGACTTCGACGAATGATCGTTTAATGCAGGGTGACCGCTTAATACAGGTTCGATCGTAGAAAAAGCTAAAAAAAATATATAGCACTTTCGATGTATGTAGAACATAATTATGAGACAATAATAAAAAAAATATGTATATGTATATGTGTATATATATATATACATATATATATATGTATATATATGGGATTTGATGAAAATCTTAATAAGAAAATAATAAATATATATATATATATATATATATATATATATATATGTATATATATATATATATGTATATATATGGGATTTGATGAAAATCTTAATAAGAAAATCTGATAGGTCTCGGAGAGATTTCACTCAGAGTGTTCGATAACTACGCTCTACTGTCTATTTTTTTCCATTTTTCCAATTTTGTTTGGTTTCTCTTTTAGTTTTAGTTTGACATACTCGGACTTAAGCCTTGTTCTCTGTGTAATAGCAGTATTCGCTGAACTCATGTAACCAGCGATCGGCGAGGATCGTGGCAATTCGCGCATAATTAATCACTGCAAGCTCACGAGAGCACAAATACCACAAACGTACTCTGGTATTTCGTAAACTTTGCCCCGTTTACCAGGGATAGAATCCTAACGAACTAGACTCAATCAATAGACTCGATTAAGCTCAACCGTTTAATTATACTCTCGTATTCACTCAGTTACAACGGGTGTGTAAAGAGCTACTCTGCATAACTTGTAACGAACTCATTCTCATATACTACATTCTCTACATTGTGATTGGTTGTTGCTAAGCACTGATATAAAGGTTATTCAAAGTTGTGTCGATCATGCAAACCGATCAGTATTCCAAATCACGAAAGGCGGTGCTTCTAGCTCTTGATAAAAAATGACAGTCTCTGTAACTAAAAAACTGTCTCTCTTGATATAATGTTTACACTTGTTATCTGATATGTGTCACGCACGAAACACAAAGTCTCCGACAGGTATACATCATACGGTGTTTCAGCGCTTTCTGGGAAACTTTGAGTATCTATCACATAATCGGATAACTCGTCTTCAACGAGCTATATTTTACGAAATAGTTCTATCATGAACATGCCATTAAGATTAATTTTAACTGTCTCCACGAATGATATTTTATACAATCACTGAACACGTCTTTCACTTATCTACCATATTAAGAACATCTTTTAACTGGCCTATCATCATGTAAGCTGACTCAAGCAGTAACAGTATTTCCGTAAAAGAGGATATTTATCTTCGACACAGTGAGGTTGGTGTCCATAAGCGTCCAGGCGGCTGATACCTCCCGCGAGTGACGGAGTCCCTTTCTTCATTCTAACAGATGCTTCATAAAATCCTTCATTAGGTGACGTCACGAACTGCAGCTGATACATTGTATCCCGGGCTAAAGTGTTCATTGACTTTTTACCGTAATTTAACCCGCATGAATCACATTTTTCGTCGCGGTACGTCGAGTCAAAAAACTGCATATCCGCATTTGGCATGTCACGGAAAGAGCTTTTGATTTCTTTTAGAACCAATTTGTGGCACTGCGTTTTCAACTCTGGGTGCTGAAAGATCAAATCGTTCATATGGGTAACCACAAAATCGGCTAATTTTTTTATCATTGGTTCCTCTGTGGAAACTTCTTCCAAGTTCAGACACGGGCACCAGTGCTCCTCAACTCCAGCACTCGCGCACGTGCGTTTATCTTTGTCAATTTTAGTAAACAGACTTTGGCCAGTTATTATATCACTGGGGTAGTTGGGATACGACAGGATGTGACGTAGTGTTGCGTACACGTCAAACGGTGAGGTCAGCACTTTGGAATTATGGATCAAATTCTTGTAAAGATCTGGATACTTCTGAGTAAACCACTTTGGGACTGTAATGGACATATGAGGAAGTCTCTCCTCTAATTTCCCTTGGAGAGTCTTTCTTATCCCAGTATATCGAATACCATGGTCGCCAAATATAATCAAAAAAGTATTTTCCAGAAAAGACTCTCTCTCCAAGGTTTGTAATGTTCTTTTCAAATCATCATCGACATGACCTATTCTGTTCAGATCGTCATGAGATATAATTGCATTCACCATGAGAGAGAACTTGGGTTTCTGTTTGTATGCACGAAAGAAATCAACCAAATAGTCAAGAGACATATTGTGAAATGCTCGCCCACCGATACACTGAACAACCCGTTGAGTAATGTTGTCCGCCTCCATCCATAGTGGCCTGGCAAAATGGTCTGTGGGTGGATCTTTAAATCCGTGTAGCCGGTAATTAAAGGTTGCATAAGCCGTCGAGTCCTCAGAAAACAGGGTAGCGTATCCTTTCTGCTTTAAATCTCGAAAAATCCACCTCCAATTATCAACTGTCTTGGCATTTGGTTCACTTCTTCTCGCTTCTGGTTGTTCCTTTTCAGCTATACCAGTAAGCATTGCACACAGTTGGGCTGTTGTACCATCTCCCACAATTGTTTCACCTAGTATGAGTAATAAATACACCTTAAGAGACTGGCCAATATTTATCGCCTTACAAGGGGAGGAGGGGGTCGGAGGACACGGTAAAATCTACCTGATCCCCCATAAGGCTCGGTCGTATTTTTATGATACTCCTCGGAGGTAGTTATAATTTTCATGAATTTTCCTCTCATGGTAGCTATGTGCTTATACAAATATTAAAAAATATGCAGGGATGGAAGAGATTAGAGGAGATGAGCGGCGAGGGAGTGAATGGTATTAAAAAAAAGACCCTCAATTTTTCTATAGTCCTCCCTTTATCCTCTATTAACGAAGACTGACCCCCCCTCTGTTCCCACTGAAAATTATGTGACCCCCCCCCAATTCTCCGATCCCCCTTGACGAAAAATAAGACTGGTCCCTTTTTCGATGGTTTAACAAATGATACGCTCAGATAATCTGCGAGGTTTGCAGTATTTTTCCAAACCCCGCAAGGGCGAGGAAAAATACGAGCAAAACGTCGGCTAACGATAAAAACAACATCAGCGAAATTGTTGAAATAGTTTTAAATGACTGCCAAAAATCTGATACGCTTAAAGGTTCAAAGCACAAAAAATAGGATAAAACCGAAGTTAGAAACGTTCAGTGCGAACATTTCATTGCTCCGCTTTCCGTGCGTATTTTTGCCCCGTTCTACAGTATGCGCGCGTTCTGATACCTTTATATGGTAAAATGGCTTCAAAGTGGAACAAGAAATAGTGTTTTATATAGACCTGCACGGCTGCCGCAGCTCAAACTGCGGTATTTATACCATGAAGTGAATAGATATTTTATATGGTAAGCCGAATTTTAGATGCATTTTGATTGATTTTTTAATTATGACCTACCGGAGGACAAATGCATAGATGACGTCACCGTTAACAACCTTTTGCTTTTTTATCATCTAAAACATACAGATTTGATGTTGCCGTTGGTCTGTGCAGTCATAGATCACAAAAGACGTCCAATGATGTTCTCGTTGAGAGTATCATTGACACGCGTGGCTGCACTTCGCCGTGTGCCACGTTTTTGTTCTTACCACACGGCAACTTAGAATCTATCCGTGAAATGGCTCCTGTCTAAGCATGAGCTGCTAGTCCATGGGCTGCTCGTTCTCTTAATCTTTCTCGAGTTCTTGTGACGATGACAATATCAATAAATTAACCAGCGATGAGCCGATGGACAAACCTATGAGACAGCGGATATCATCTTGTCCAAAATCAAATGCTAGAATTTTTACAGAAATGCACAACTACCAGTAGGTCTATAATCGGATCTCTGATAGTGAAGGTTCAGAACACCTTTAATTTTTCAAAGCAATTTAGATCACTTCACGTCGCCACGGCTTATGTCATTAGTACTTCTCATCGCGTCTTCCATACCAACAACTATACCAGACACTAGACACCGAAATTTTGAAATAAACAAACCTTGAAGAACGACTGAATTGAGATGTTTGGTCAAGTACTTCAAAGTGTTGGGCATCTTTCTCTGGAAGTTAGCAGCAGATGTGGAATCATACATGATCAGTGAGATATCAAGTGGAATACCACCAGGTTTCGCCGGTCTCGATAACACTTCATCCTTTGGCACGACCTGCATGTGTACGTCACTTTCGATCGCACCCGAATTTTTCACAACATCGACACGGAGGTATTCAGCTTTCACGGTTGCCTTTCCATAGAATGGGGATGAGGGGCGATCTGTGTCACGAAATGAGAAAAAGACGCACGAAGGATGTTATGTAAGTTTCTACCCTGCGCGTCAAGAATGTCAAGCAAACGAAAAAGTATCCCGGA